TGATTAAATTGCTAATATTTTTATTGACATAATTTCTTTTTTCTAAGGCACAAAAATATTTTGTAGGTTTCTCCCCATCTTCTATCCATTTACAATGACTTCTTAACAATAGCCCCTTCAATTCATATTTTCTAATTTCCTCTAATTCTGTCTCAAGGTCACTTATCATATCTAGATAAATTGACAAAGGGTAATTATTATACATATCATGTAAAATTCTAAGTTGATTTCCAATCTTTGCTTTGTGATCCCTCCTTTCTCGGGTCAAATTTGCAGATAATTGTATTGCCATATCCCTTATTTTCATTAATAGAACATCAAGAAAAAGATTATCTGGTATTCCTAACATTGATTCATCAATACGATATTCATTATCCGTTTCCCTTATAATTTTTTTAACATTTGTCACAAATTCTTTGTTTCTCAATAAGGAATTGTTAAAACGCCAGAATCCCTTTCCACGTTTAAATTCATTAATAGTAATATCTAATTCTATGATAGAGTGATCAGTCCTATAGCCTGGCATCATGTGAACATCATTTATAATTGATAAGAGTTCCTCTGATACTAAAAAAAAGTCAAGTCTAGCCTGTTTTACTGGGTTCTTCCTACTCCATGTATATTTTTTAGCATCTGGGTTTTTGATTCTCCAAGGATCTACTAAATTGAATTTTGATTTTAATTTTTCAATTTCAAGTTTATTTTTGGGATTGTTTTCTCTAACATAATTGTAACAGTCTAACTGGTAATCTTGTACTACATTCCAGTCTCCACACATAATTATAAAGTCAGTATCAAAAAAATCATCCATTTTATCACTTATTTCTGCATAAAATTTAGGATTATCTTTATTGTGACCATATAAATTAACCAAAGTGATTGAGTACTTGTTATCCACCATTATATTTGATATAATGAAATTCCCCTCATTATCACTATAAACTTTAGAAATTTTTATTTCATTTGTGTTATTAAAAAGGGTTAAAGTCCCTCTTGCATCTGATTTTCCTGAGCTGATGAGTATGTCATTACCCCATTGGGCATAAACTGAATTTTTCTCTAATTCTGTACAGTGGGTGTCTTGTAAACAATAAATAGATGATTTAAAATTTCTTAAATAGTTTAGGACATCCTTTCTTTTCATAGAATCATGTAAACCTCTGCAGTTTACAGAAGTAATTTTTAACTTAGTCATAGATTACACTACACAGTTGAATAAAGGCAAAAAAATATGCATGTTGCATACTCTCCATTCTTTCACACATATATCAAAAATGAAAAATACTTCCTGTATGGTAACAAAACAAATCAAGAAAATTCATGTATTACATCGCAAGTTCGCGGAATTTAACATAGCATCAGGAGGTTCTAAAAATTACTCTTTCTATAAATTTCACACTGTATGAATAACAGTGCACTCATTAAAAACATTTCTCTATCACTTAAAATTTATTTTGCTACGAAAACTATGGATTCATCTCTGCATAACTATTGATGCCAATTTACATTACTAATTATTAGCAGTGCATGCATTCGTCATAAAACATCTATCTTCAAAAATAATTTCTGCATACAAGGATAAAAGTGATGATTATCCTCAGTCTTTATATTCACAAGACTTGTTCTTCTTATAGGGTCTTAAACAATTAAGTTTAAATTTGATTAACTCGAATTTTAATCAGTAGTGGAGTATATACATGAGATAGTCCACTAGTTATACACAAGCTCCCTTGAAGGGATATAGGTAGGTAATTGTTGAACAAACAATGGGTGACCAGTGCCCCTCTTGACACTTCTGTCACAATCAATTAGCAGAGTAATTAAGCGGATCAACAATTATCCATTTCACTATTTGATATACAGTTTATAGATATGATCTAAAGAAGCATTCTTTTAATTCATTTGATAATTTTTCACACTCCTTCATTAAAAGTAACTAATTTTGTAAATATGTACACACTTTGCTGTATCCAAAATTGATTAAAAAAAAGGGGGGGTTGAAATGATGATATACAAGCACAAATTAAATATTATTAAAATGATTTGATTTTGAGCATATTTTATTGTATATTACATACAAAAGGATTGGATACATTTTTTTTTTTCAACTTAATAGATCCTCTCCTTGTTATACAAACAGAATGATTAATAGATCTATATATGCATGATTGTCATAACAAATAAATTGAGATAATTTACAAATCATGTTATACATGCAAAAAACAAAATAATAAATATATTGGAAAGGTAAAATAAATACTGGTACCGTAGATATATCTTATTTTAGAAGATACGCAAAACTTTGATATTTCTAACTTTGTGCACTTCTGAATGTAATTTACATATAGAAGTGCACAAAATTAAGAATATCAAAGATAGTATATATTAATTTACATGTATCATTAATCAAGATTTCTTTTATGGTTATTTTTTCCTTATTTTTTTTTGTTTATTTATTTATTTTATTTGGTCGGTCAACCGTATTTGTTTTACTTAATGTATTCATGTCTTTGAACAATGTTAGTTTATATGTATATATGGTCAGTCAGGTCTTTAGTAGATATGATCAGTCAGTACAATAAGTATAGATATGATGATCAGTCAGGTTTTTAGCATAGACATGGTCTGAGTCTGGTCACTGCAATTGCTGTCAGGTCATCTATATTTTATTTTATGTTTAAAAAATACAAGATAAGATTCTTTAATTTAAGTGCATACAATACTTTAAATTATAATTGGTGAAAAGTTGCTTATGTAAATTCGGCTTAGTTTCATCAGGTCAATGCATATTTAATATATAGGTTCATAAGTTTGTGTTTATCTGTCAGAAATGTTTAATTACAAAGTATTACACCTGAATATTCATAAATTGACATTATATGTATTAAATATTTTTATAAAATGATAACGATTACAAATGATTTTCATTTGGTCAGGTCATTTCATATTTGGTCAGGTCATTAAATTTTCATGAAATGAATTGATAAATGACAATGAATTTGGTAAAAATGATTGAATATACCTTTATTCAATTGAATTACACCTTATGATTAAGAAAATATCAAGAAAAAGTTGATATAAAAACTCAGAATAGTGATATTTGGAGAATTTTTTGTTGGTCAGGTCAGTCAGGTCTTTAGTAGGTCAGGTCTTTAGTATGTTCCCTTTGTTTTCAACTTAAAAGTTTGTTTTGTAATACAGAGGAATATGATTAGCACGTTTAGTTATCATATATCCAACTATAATCTCTTTAACTTTGGGGAGAAATGACTATTGGGAAAATTAACATATTTAACTGGGAAAAAATGTACCTTTTTTGAATTGGGAATGGGATCCTTGAACAACCCAAATTATAGACAACCGAGAGTCCTGAGAACCTTGATAGAATGTCCTCCTTATCAGTGATTTAACAATAAAATCCATCCATGTGTTGGCAATGTAGCATAATCAATAGGGGTAGAGGAGCATGCATGCATATATTATGAAAGGTTATGGATCTCAACACAAGACATATTTGAAGCAAGGAAAATGTTTTTTCTTCTTTTTATATGGATTAATTTTTATGGATGGTAGCCACATACAAGTTCAAAGAATGTTGTGCTGCATGGCTCCTGGAAGATTGACATAAACTGTAATGCTTAGAAAAGGCCAATTTTTATGTCCCCATAATTGAAGATTTGGGGGCCTATATTTTTTGGTCTGTCTGTTTGTCTGCCAAAACTTTAAACTTGGCCATAGCTTTTGTAAAGTTGGTGCTATGGCTTTCATATTTCAAATGTATATTCCTTGTGACAAGACCTTTCTTTGGATACCGACATTTCTAACCTCATTACCTAGACCTTGGAGTTTGACCTAAATTTGTATACTACTTTTGTAAAACTTTAACATGTTTAACATTGGTAATACCTTTGAAAGTTGGTGCTAGGGCTCTCATATTTCACATGTGTATTTCTTGTGAAGAGGCCTTTGTTTGGGTACCAATATTTGCCTCATGGCCTTGACCCTGGAGTTTGACCTACTCCTGTAAAAACTTTAACCTTTGCTATAACTTTTGAATGGTTGATGCTATTGCTTTCATATTTCAATTGTTTATTCTCTGTGATTATAAGATTTTTCTTTGGATACCAACAATTTTGATCCTGTGACTTTGACCTTGGAGTTTGACCTTTTTAAAAAGCTGCCATGTAACAGCATCATGGTTCCACAGACACATCTTGTGTTACTTGCTCTTTTTTTAATAATTTAATTTTTTTTTTAATTTTTTTTTTTGCTTGGAAAAACACATACTGTCCATATCATTTTAAAAGTTGTTTTATTATTTCTCTAAGATACATTTACAGGGTTGTCCCTAAGACCTGGGGCTGGGAAATTTCCCTGCCTTTTATGACATAATTCCCCATTACTTTGATATTCCCTCTCAACCCCCTCTAAGGAGAAGAACCCCAGACCCCTTTCTACCTTTTTAATGTCCCCTAGCTGATATTTCAAATCTTAGGGACAACCTTGCATTTAGATTAAACCTTTTTATAGCAGTAAGTATTATATCCATTTATTATGTATATAATGAAAATATTAATAAATTTCTAAGTCAGTGATTTATTATGATTACCAATGTGAAAGAAAATTTCAAAAAAGACCACTAACCTACCTACCAACCTTGAAAAATGTGGGTGGGAGTGCATCAAACAAACAAACAAAAAAAAGATGGCCAAATGTTACATGTCTCAAGACTGAGACAGCATGCTAATAAACAAATATGACATTAAAAATCATACAGAAAAAATTTCATTATTTGAAAGATCTTCGAAATGAATCAGTTGGTGCTAATCAGATTTGAAAGTAAGAGTATTGTCTTTAACAAATTTGTGTAGACTGGAAAGTTGCCAACTTTATGTCTTTGCACATTAGAGTAAAAACCTAAATTAATTAGTACATGCATAAATATTGGTACATGTATCTATTTTTAAAATTTAAAGTATTATACAAACTTTTTTCCTTAGTTGAAAGAAAGAAGAATTTGCAGGAAGCCCGGAAAGAATTAGCAAAATCATCCTCATCTAAGAAGAATACTCAGTACAGTGTAGATCAGTTATTAGACAAGGTAACATGTTTTGCATTCTTTGAAGTTTGTAAATTGTTGCTTTGTACATTATATTACATAAGAAATTTTTCTATGTAATTTTTTCAAAGTAAATATCAAATTTTGGAAATTGAACATCATTGTCATAGAAATTGCATTAAAATTATAATTATTTTTATTAATTCATAAATAAAATCATTTTGTTCCTTTTATGTTTAGGTTGATGAGTACATTGACAGTTTCCAATATGAACTGGCACAGAAATTCTGTCAGCGAGCTCTGGAGATGGAACCAGACAACATAAGAGCCCTGGAAACAGCTGGGAGTTTACTACTGGAATTGGGAAACACGGAGGCTGCAAAACAGGTGACTAATTTATAATCTGAAAGCATTCATTCTTTGTAGAAATGTTATACCATAATGCCATTGACAGTAAAGATCATGCTTATATTATTTGAATTTGAAGTGTTTTGGCCGAGCAGTAGAAGTAAATCCTGATACTGGACACAGTAAATACATGTATCTTGGACAGCTGTTTGAAGGTGCAGAGGCCATTAAATGTTTTCAAAAGGGAATTGAATTGATGGTCAAAGAAAGAGAAGCACAGAGTGCACAAGAGGTAATTTTTTTCGCTCAATAAAGATTGTTAAACTGCACACATTACAAGAATGTAAAAGATTAATTAGAGTACAAAAAGGTTTTTTTCTACTGTCATCAAATAAGAAAAGACATTATTCTCTCATGTTATTATATAGTTTAAAATTTTTGTGAAAAAGCACCAATAAAAAAACAACTCTTAAAATTTAAATACTTAATGGTGGTGCATTGTGTGATTTTTTTTCCACATTGATTTTTATCCTGGGTATGGAGACTACATATTTGACATCATACATGAGACAAAACATGACACCCTTGCTTATTTTGTCAACTTGCTAGTCATGTATCAAATTTTTGTCTTGCCAGAATATTGAATATGTTCACTTTATCTTCATCTGAGCTTGTTCATTTCCTATCATTTCTTTGTAAATTGTCTGACTAACTTGGTGGAAAGCTTTGTTAGATGAATGACATTAGGTTTGTATGAATGACACAGCATTTCTCCAAATGCAAGTTTAGCATTACATACTGTGAATGTATCGATCAACATTTAACAAAATTGATTTTGAATTCTCCAATAATAGAAATTTTTCTGCTACAAGGCATTGTGTTTGACACATACAACTTTATTTCTTCACTTCTGCAGTTAGCTGCTGCCTGTGGCGGAGGTGAAAAGGTCAGTGGGAAGGACATTTCCAGCGCTTACTGTTCTTTGGCTGAAATATACATGACAGATTGTTGGTAAGTTTAAAGATACCAAATCTACATGTGTTTATGTGTAAATGGCTACATGATTTTGTCATCATCTTAATTCTCATGCATTTCCAATTCCAGGACAGTCTTTAAAATAATATGTATCTGCTAATGTAACCAAGTGCAATTCTGGACTTTTCTTCTTCTTAAAAATGTATTAACTACATGTACATGTATGTATTTCAGCCATTTTCTTGCTGTAGTAGCTGTGATCTAAAAATAGAAATTAAAATATATCATTGAGGGAGTTAACAAGATTCTGGTTTGTAAGATCAGATCTATTTCATGACCTACAGCTGAGGGTAGTAGACCTGATCCAGGCAAACCAGAATTATGCTAACTCACTAAATAATATATGTTATCATTTTGTTATACTTAGTATAAAAGTAGTATACAAAATACTTTTGGACTGTTTACAGGAAATGTGTACAATTTTTGTTTGCCAGCAAAGGCAAACTGCATCCAAGTTAGTGCCTGCATCCACAATATGACTGTTTAATCATGTTAATAGACTGTTATCAAAAGCAGCTCATACCACAAACCCCTGTGAAAGTATTAATGTGTTCTTTGGGTAAGATGTGTTATGTACCCTGGTATAAAGCATGAATAAATTTATGTAGTGGAAAATTCATAGATGTATAAGACATATATGTACATGAAAATGAGGTGAAAGAAATCTTCTTACATGGTTAAGGTACTATTTTCCCTTTAATAGATATGTTTAGGGAATGTTAGTATTTTCCTATGGTAAATTTCTTGTCTATTCATACAAAGCAGTGGCGTTAGTAATTGCTGTCTAATTCAGGTATTGATTATTTCTCATATTTCCATCTATATGGGTAACTGCTGAGAAATTTAATATCAGAATTACTGACCACATACATTAAAACCTCATTATTTTAAACTTCATGGGACCAAGAAAAACTTCATTAATCCTAGTATTTGAGGTACTGAGGTTAAAATACATGGAAGAAAATCTTGTTGGGACTTCTAACTGACCTCGAGATATCTATGGTATTCAAGATACAAATTTATCAGTGTTCCAAATATTGAAGTTCAACTATATTTACAAAGTAACCAAAAAAAAAGTAACGTAAAAGAGAGCAGAAAGAAAGTTGTCCATAAACTGTTCATCAGTCCAAGTCTGTGTGTCATTTTTGTATTATATCTCCTTTGTTTCCTATAAGAGACTTATTTCTATACTACTTTATGTAGTGATGAACCCAATGCCGAGACTCAGTGTGAGGAGAACATTAACAAGGCTATTGAAGCTGACAGCGAGAATCCCGAGGCTTATCAACTAAAGGCCAGCTTCTACCTATCTAAAGACAACAAACAGGTGATTCAATCTGATTCAGATTTATTGTTAACATCTTAAAATACTGTAGATGTACCTTTTCCTCCATGATATGGTCCGTCGCAAATTTTCTGTTGGAATTTGTCACTTGTGATTTTGCAGAATTATGACCCCATGGAAAAAAAGTATCTTTACAGTATTTATAGATATAATCAGTACTGTTTTCTTCTCCCTGAGAGGCATAAAAGTTATGATATTCCAATCAGGTGTGCTTGTTATTTGTATTTTTAAAACTAATTTTTTCCAGCTTGATAGATTTATGCATATTTAAAAATGGTAAAGCTTTTATAGCTGGCACATTCTAAACCAATTACATACTATGCATGCATATTCAATTTCATATGACAAAAATATAATTGGTAATTTAATAACAGGAAGCTCTAGTCATGATTAAAAAGAGTGTGTCGCTATGGTTACCTAAATATGAAGCCGTGGAACAGGGAAATATAACAGAAGAAGAGAATGACCCTGTGGAGGTTAGTGTTTTATTGTTAGCTAAAGGAAATATGGACATGTTTGTATCCCTGAAACTATCATAATAAGAATAATTGTAATAAAAGGAAACCCCACCAGAAAAATACTTTAATAAAATGTATATTTTCTGTTAAGAAGTATTTTTTTGCATTAACAGGCAGTGTCCTTGTCTTATGATGCTAGAGTAGCAGCAGCTAAGATACTAACAGAGGTTGAAGAATACGAGGTAGATATGTCATACATAATGATTTTAACATTTATTACAAGAGTTTGCATTTTTATTTCTTTGATAGTGCAGAAAACTTTTTTTTATCTTAGTGTCAACTTCTACATACACGTAATTATTATTTTCTTTTAGACTGCAGTCACTGTGTTAGAAAGTTTACTTGATGAAAATGAAGATGACCCACAGATCTGGTATATGATTGGATGGGCTAACTATTTACAAGGGGAAGACTACAGAGCAAATGCCAGATTTTATTTTAAGAAATGTAAAGAGGTAAAAACCAAGAACTTGAAAATTCAAAAAAGATTTTGACAAACCAAGTGACTAAAAAACTCTATTTTTTTATAATCAAATTTCATGTGATTGTATGAGTATTGTATTTAAAGGTATACACTAAATCACAGTACGAAGATGAGGGAATTCTGAAACATACAGATGAATTATTGGAAGAACTCAGTCCAGGTAAAACAGCATATTGCAGATACTGGCATTAAAATGATATTAGGCCTAGATAAATAAATTATGTGTTTCCTGTTCCCCGACCGACCCTAAAATATATGAGCTGACCCTAAAAAATTTATCTGCAGATATCTTTCTTGGAGTAAACTATTCCAGTTTCGCTATTAGAAATCCTAATCTCGATCACTTCCATTTTTCAGAAAATGCATATTCTATACACATTAATCAAAATTGTTTTGACAGCGATTTCCTCGGGGAAAAATGGTAGCACACGTGCTTGCCAATAAAATATTAAAATAAAATAAAATGTTTTTCCTACCTACCCTATTTTTTCTCAGGTTGGAATAGGAAACAAACTATTTATTTATCTTGGCCTTATTCAAATTTTAACTTTCTTTTCTAAATACCAGTTGATCTCTTGTCTGATATATATAGTATGCCTCTCCTATGGCAAAACAATTATGTGGCTTCATGGACGTATCAGGAATTTTTCCTCAAAAAAGAGGAAGGGGGGGGGGGGGGACTATACCCATTCAAGAAAAATCAACCTCAGAAATTTTTGACAGGCAAAACAATGTTTAAACTTGTTCTAAGGGTGAAAAAATCAATATTGTGGGTGGGCAGGGGTTGGACATTTCTTTCTTTCATATCCGACTCTTCTTATCAACTTGTACATGTACATGCCATGTGGTCCATGTATCTTTTTTGGGTTCAAGCTATTTTTGGTAACTTTTTTATTAGGGCCCCGCAAGGATTTGCGGGTGCCCTATTGTAATCACTCTGTCTGTCTGTCCGTCTGTCTGTCTGTCTGTCCGTCTGTCCGTCTGTCATTCTTCCGTCCACAAATTTTCTGTTTTATTCTAATAACTTTTTTTAGGGTTGACCAATTAAATTCAAATTTGGTATGTTGGTTGAATAGGCAAAAGGACATATTTTGATGCTAAGTTTGGGTCTCTATGTCATCTGGTTTGGAGCTGGGGTGGTGGGGTAAATTCCTTAACTTTATATAAGAGTGAATGGGCAAAGAGAGATAACTGCTGAGAATGTTCCTATTGTAAACTGTGAAAGGCTGCAATGAGTCTCTTGGGATTAATTAACTTTCCTCTCGAAGAAAATCCAAAGCATTTATCTTTATCTGCCACATTGAGATTAATTAACACCTCTGTCTGCAAATGAAGTTTGTTTTGAAGTTAAGGTCAATTTTGAATGATGTTTACATTCTCTGAAATGTGGATTTAAATAATGTTCATACTTTATTTTGGTAAAATACACAATGAGTTATGATTTTATTGAATTCTAAAAACAAGATATACATGTAGATAAAGATATCTTTTTTATTATGATTTTATTTTTTTTAAATTTTTTTCTGCCTTATGTAATGATTTTATTGAATTCTAAAAACAAGATATACATGTAGACAAAGATATCTTTTTTATTATGATTTTATTTTTTTTTTTTTTTTGTTTTCTTTTTTTCTGCCTTATGTAAATTCAAGAATACTATTTATTTTAGCAGGTATTCAGATAATAACCTCATTCTATCATTGCTGAAAGAGTTCTTATTGTAAACTTAGAAGAAAAGGTTTAGACTTTAGAGAGCAGTATAATTAATCCCCTGGGATTGATTATCTTGCTGGTTTGCAGAAAATGTGATAGGGTTATCTTTCTGTCACTTTAAGATTAATTAACAACTTTGTCTGCAACTGATATTTGTTTTGAAGTTAAGGTCAAGCCTGGGTGATATTTACATTCACTGAAGGCTGGCATTTTAGAAAACACATGCTTCATTCTTCTTTAAATATACATTTAATTTAGTTATTATAGATATGAGGTATTTTACTGCCTTATGTAAATACAAGGATACTATTTAGAGGTTATTGGATATTTAGCAGTTGCTGTTGCTTATTCTTTATATATATATATTTAAAGTTTTGTAATCAAGTAAAATTCTCATCCCATAATCTGCACCCTTATATTTCTACCCCTCACCGGGGCCCTTGCTGACTCGTCAGAATTCTAGTTTATATTTAATAACCAAAAATCTCAAGGTGGGCCTGGACCCTCCTTGTCTCCCCTTCTAGATCTGCACTTGAGCATTTCTAGTAGGGTTGACTTAACGTGCCCCAGAACCTCTGCAGTCAGAAAAGCATCCACATTATTTTTGCTGTCAGATATCCAACTGGTAGTATATATGGATCAAGACTGGGAGTAGGCTGAGGAAAGACCATGCAGATACAGCATTTTAACCACATGAATAAGATTGTTTTATTTTATAAAAGGTGATGATGAGGATGAGGATGGTGAAGAAGCAGATGATGGTGCTGAAGAATTAGAAATTGACAGTGACTCCGAAAGTGAAAGTAACACAAATAATGAAAGTGAAACTAAAATGGAACATTGAGCATAAAGTGGATACACACCATACACTGAAAGGGTTGAATTTCAGAAATACAGATACAAATGTAACAAAAAATCTTTTGAAGCTGTATTTATGATATTGTAGTTTTAAGAAATACCTGCAATTTTATGAAAATAAATATCTTTGTTATGTTGCTTTTAATTGTATGAATCAGTGCCTTAATATTTTATTTTATTTAATCCATTTCCATCAATATTGGGTCTGTTTTCCAATATCTCTCCATAATACCCTCTTTACTCAACACTCTACTTCACGACTTCATTTAAACAATAAAATGCTCTCTTTCTTTGTTTAAAATAAGGGGGTTAAAGGGGAATAAAGACCAATAAAATCAAGCCGTTTCCTATGACTCAATCTGAGAGAAGACGGTGTATTGCTTCCCTGAATTTACGATTACAGTTTTTAGTTCTACTGGTAAGGTGTCTGTCATCTGTCCATCCATCTGTCTGTAAACAATTTTTCATAATGCTACTCCCCCTACAGTTTTGGTCTGATTTCAATGTGACTCCATACACAAGTAGACAACACTTAGATACATAATTCTATTATTATATAACCAACTGTTTGTGTCTCAGTTTTACTGTTGAATTCATGCAATCACGTGACGGTGTGATCCGACGTTCCAGATCACCACACTGTGGTTTTCTGAATCCATATTACCCCTCTTTGAAACTGATGACGTTGTACACAGATAAATGATGTTGTTATTCTCGCACATCAAAAAACTCCTCGACAAAATGGTATGTTTAATGTATTAAAGGTATGTAATTGATCCAAAAAGCTTCCTTTTATTATTTTTTGCTAGTTGTAAAGGGGTCTATGATAAATTTATCATTACAGCAGTAACTTGACCTGAAGAACCGTATCACGTGTCGTTGACAGGCGCGGATCATCATATCAAACTTGACGCTTTGCGTTCCCCTTTTGATCTGATGATCTGCGCCTGTCAACTTGACGTGATATTGCTCTTCGGATCAAGTTACTGTTATAATATATATATATATATATATATATATATATATATATATATATATATATATATATATATATATATATATATATATATATATATATATATATATGTTTTAGATTGCGATGAACTGTGTTGCCATGGTTACTAAATTGAGAAATTTCTGTGTAATACTTTCAAAACACTACTGCTCCTACAGTTTTGGTTTGATTTCTATTTAACTTGGCTCACACATAGATTACACTGAGATACATAATTCTGTATATTAGTTTTTAGCTCACCTGAGCCGAAGGCTCAAGTGAGCTTTTCTGATCACATTTTGTCTGTAGTCCGTCTGTCCGTCTGTCTGTCTGTCCGTCTGTCCGTCTGTAAACTTTTCACATTTTCGACTTCTTCTCAAGAACCATTGGGCCAATTTCAACCAAACTTGCCACAAAGTATCCTTGGGTAAAGGGGATTCAAGTTTGTTCAAATGAAGGGCCACGCCCTCTTCCAAGGGGAGATAATTAAGAATTCGTGAAAAATTAATGGCATCATTAAAAAATCTTCTTCTCAAGAACCACTGTGCTTGAAATCATGAAACTTATGTGGAAGCATCCTCAGGTAGTGTAGATTCAAGTTTCTTCAAATCATGACCCCCGGGGTTAGGGTGGGGCCGCAATGGGCGATCAAAGTTTTACATAGGAAATATACAGGAAAAATCTTTAAAAATCTTCTTCTCAAGAACAGCAAAGCCATAATTGGTCATATTTATATGGTAGCATCCTCAGATAGTGTACATTCAAGTTTGTTCAAATCATGACCCCCGGGGGTCGGGTGGGGCCACAATGGGCGGTGAAAGTTTTACATAGGAATATATAGGAAAAATCTTCAAAAATCTTCTTCTCAAGAACAGCAAAGCCATGATTGGTCATATTTACTTGGAAGCATCCTCAGGTAGTGTAGATTCAAGTTTGTTCAAATCATGACCCCCGGGGGTAGGGTGGGGCCACAATAGGCGATCAAAGTTTTACATAGGAATATAAAGGAAAAATCTTTAAAAATCTTCTTCTCAAGAACAGCAAAGCCATAATTGGTCATATTTACCTGGAAGTATCCTCAGGTAGTGTAGATTCAAATTTGTTCAAATCATGACCCCCGGGGGTCGGGTGGGGCCACAATGGGCGATCAAAGTTTTGCATAGGAATATATAGGAAAAATCTTTAAAAATCTTCTTCTCAAGAACAACAAAGCCATCACTGGTCATATTTATATTGTAGCATCCTCAGGTAGTGTAGATTCAAGTTTGTTCAACTCATGACCCCCGGGGGTCGGGTGGGACCGCAATGGGCGATCAAAGTTTTACATAGGAATATATAGGAAAAATCCTTAAAAATCTTCTTCTCAAGAACAGCAAAGCCATAATTGGTCATATTTATATGGTAGCATCCTCAGATAGTGTACATTCAAGTTTGTTCAAATCATGACCCCCAGGGGTCGGGTGGGGCCACAATGGGCGATCAAAGTTTTACATAGGAATATATAGGAAAAATCTTCAAAAATCTTCTTCTCAAGAACAGCAAAGCCATGATTGGTCATATTTTCTTGGAAGCATCCTCAGGTAGTGTAGATTCAAGTTTGTTCAAATCATGACCCCCGGGGGTAGGGTGGGGCCACAATGGGCGATCAAAGTTTTGCATAGGAATATATAGGAAAAATCTTCAAAAATCTTCTTCTCAAGAACAGCAAAGCCATAATTGGTCATATTTATATGGTAGCATCCTCAGGTAGTGTAGATTCAAATTTGTTCAAATCATGACCCCCGGGGGTCGGGTGGGGCCACAATGGGCGGTCAAAGTTTTACATAGGAATATATAGGAAAAATCTTTAAAAATCTTCTCAAGAACAACAAAGCCATCATTGGTCATATTTATATGGTAGCATCCTTAGGTAGTGTAGATTCAAGTTTGTTCAACTCATGACCCCCGGGGGTCGGGTGGGACCACAATGGGCGTTCAAAGTTTTACATAGGAATATATAGGAAAAATCTTTAAAAATCTTCTTCTCAAGAACAGCAAAGCCATGATTGGTCATATTTACATGGAAGCATCCTCAGATAGTGTACATTCAAATTTGTTCAAATCATGACCCCCGGGGGTCGGGTGGGGCCACAATGGGCGATCAAAGATTTACATAGGAACACATAGTAAAAATCTTCTTCTCAAGAACAGCAAAGCCATGATTGGTCATATTTATATGGTAGCATCCTCAGATAGTGTACATTCAAATTTATTCAAATCATGACCCCCGGGGGTCGGGTGGGGCCACATTGGGCGATCAAAGTTTTACATAGGAACACATAGTAAATATTCTTAAAAAAAAACAATTTGTTAAGAATAGCAAAGCCATGATTGGTCATATTTATATGGTAGCATCCTCAGGAAGTGTACATACACATTTGTTCGAATCATGACCCCTGGGGGTCGGGTGGGGCCACAATGGGCGATCAAAGTTTTACATTGGAACACATAGTAAAAATCTTTTAAAGAAACTATTTGTTAAGAATAGCAAAGCCATGATTGGTCATATTTATATGGAAGCATTCTTCGATAGTGTACATTCAAGTCTGTTCAAACATGACCTCTGGGGGTCGGGTGGGGCCACAATGGGCGATCAAAGTTTTACATAGGAATACATAGGTTAAATCTTTTAAATCTTCTACTCAAGAACAGCAAAGCCATGATTGGTCATATTTAAATGGAAGCATCCTCAGATAATGTAGATTGAAATTTGTTCAATTCCTGACCCCCCCCCCCCCCCAACCACTTTTATATTTAAACTTTTCAACCTTTCAAGATTGAAGTGATTTCTGCTTTTTCCTAGCCATAGTGCTCAGGTGAGCGTTGTGGCCCCTGGGCCTCTTGTTTTATTTCCATGAATGGTGTTGCCATGGTATTTCACCAAATTACCATGGTTTCCATGGTATTTCTGTGAAATACTTTCAAAACACTACTTCTACAGCTTTGATCCGATTTCAATATAACTTGGCACGCAAGTAGATTACACTAGGTTACATTATTCTTTTTATCGGTTTTTGATTTTGGTGAAGTGTTGCCATGGTTACTAAAAATAGAAATTTCTGTGAAATACTTTCAAAACACTACTCCTCCCACAGTTTGGTCTGATTTTAATATAATGTGGCACACAAGTAGACTAAACTGAGATACTTAATTGTCTTTATTGTTTTTTGAATTTGATGAATGATGTTGCCATGGTTATAAGAACAAAATTTCTATAAAATTCTTTGAAAAGGCTACTCCTCCTACAGTTTTAGTCTGTTTGCAGTAAATCTGGCCACAAAAAGAGACTTAACCAAAGATTATTTTTCTATTTATTGCTGTTGCAAAGTTTCAAGTCCAAGTGCGACATTTCTCTTCCTTTTTAGCTCACCTCAACGAAGTTGGGGGAGCTTATGTAATACCCTCGGCGTCGGTGTCCCAGGTTAAGGTTTTTGGAGCAGTTTTCTTTTCAAGTACTTCTATGGCCTGTATTAGTCAGAGATGCATGGAGGATGCTTCTAGTGTGTTTCATTGTACCAGTCAAGGTTTCAGATGCTGCAATTTCAGCTAAAGAATGACCAGGTTAATGTTTTTGGAGCAGGTTCAAGTTTTTGGAGTAGGTTAAAGTTTTTGTAGCAGGTCTCATTTCCAAGTAACTATAAGCCCTATATTGACCAAACTTGCATGGATGATACATTTAAGGATGCACACTACTGGACTTGCTTCGGATGCTGAATCTGACCTTTATTTTCCGGATGAGTAACCAGGTTAAAGTTTTTGGAGCAGATCTCATTTCCAAGTAACTATAAACCCTATATTGACCAAACTTGCATGGATGATACATCTAAGGATGTACACTACTGGACTTGCTTACGCAAGGAAATAGCCAATCAAAATGAACTTAGTCAATTGTAGTTCTATATATACAGAGACAATTTCTTTTTCTTTTTGCATTTTCGGCTACTTTTTTTTTTAGGTCTACAGTTTTAATTTTGGACTCATGTACTAGGAATATCATATCTTTAGCAGAATTGTGCCACTGAATTAAAGGGAACTCTTTTTTTAGATGCGCATGATGCAACTTCCTGGATGGTGTGTAGGCTGTTTGTCAACATGTGAAACCCACGTGTATTTCAGGGTAGGTATGTTTACACTCAATTTCCTTTCTTAAAAGCCGCATAAGGCGTATTTTTTCTGATCTCAAATTTTTGTCTCAGCATTAATCTTTATTTTCTCTTTCATGAATTATCTGCTGAGAGTCTAATTAATTAATTAATTTAATTAAAGCTACATAGTAACATATAGTGAAATCATTTCCTTGTGTGAGACCTTCAGATGCTGGATCTGACCTATATTTTCCGGATGAGTAACCAGGTTAAAGTTTTTGGAGCAGATCTCATTTCCAAGTAACTAAAAGCCCTATATTGACCAAACTTGCATGGATGATACATATAAGGATGCACACTACTGGACTTGCTTCGGATGCTGAATCTGACCTATATTTTCCGGATGAGTAACGAGGTTAAAGTTTTTGGAGCAGATCTCATTTCCAAGTAACTATAAGCCCTATATTGACCGAACTTGCATGGATGATACATCTAAGGATGCACACTACTGGACTTGCTTCGGATGCTAGATCTGACCTATATTTTCCGGATGAGTGATCAGGTTAAAGTTTTTGGAGCAGATGTCATTTTCAAGTAACTATAAACCCTATATTGACCAAACTTGCATGGATGATACATCTAAAGATTCACACTACTGGACTTGCTTCGGATGCTGGATCTGACCTACATTTTCCGGATGAGTAACCAGATTAAAGTTTTTGGAGCAGATCTCACTTCCAAGTAACTATAAGGCCCATCTGAACCAAACTTGCATGGATGATGCATCAAGGGACGAATAATCTCAAGACTTGCTTCGGATGCTGGATTTGACTTACATTTTCTGGATGAGTGACTAGTTTTAAGTTTTCAGGTAAGTCTATTCCCAAGTAACTGCAAGCCCTATCAGACCAAAATTGCATAAATGTTGCATCTAGGTATGCACACTCCTAGATTATTAGTTTAGTGTGGGACTTTGCCTTACTTAAAGACAACATTCGTTGAGGTGTGCTCTGTAATCTCTGATTACCTATGTTTTAAGTACTAACCAGTAGAGCTACAATCTCGACAGAGACTTCTGGTTGATTACGTGTTTCGATTGGTCCATCTCTGCCTCTATAGATTTTAATTGAAAGAGGATATTCAATGTTTAGTTACATGTAGTTATAGGATTTATTTTAATGCACAGGTGAGAATATATATTTAATACATTTTCATCAGTAAAATACTGTAATTTATTTATTGAATAAAAGTGATATTCTGTCACAGTGTGAAAGAATATCAAAATGTCATTCTGTCAGTGTGAAAGGATATCAGAAGTTTTCAAGCTCACAATGGCTAAGCTATAATGTCTCAACTGCTCAACTATAACGTCATAGCATATGACACTGTGCTACGAAAAGAGGGCAAAGGGAAATTCAAGAAAATATAATAAGCAGAAAAAACTTGGATATGGAATTTATTTCACTTGTGAGACAGGATTTTTTTTTATTTTCAGGAGTGTGAAGCCTGTCCCACTGGTGAAATAAATTCCATATCCAACTACAAAACATTGAATATCATCCACACACACCCTCACACACACACACACACACACACCCTCACAAACACACACACACACACACACACACACACACACATATATATATATATATATATATATATATATATATATATATATATATATATATATATATATATATATATATATATATATATATATATAACCATTTCATAAAGATTCTACTAAACATTGAAATATCTGTTTCTTAAAACAACAATAAATAAGGTACTATTAAGTTGAGGAAGATCATTTTCCAAATAAAAATAAGTTTGACGAATATGATGCATCAGCAACATTCTGAAATTCATCAGAGATCAACTTAATTTTCTGGTGGAATTTTCTAATAAATTATCAACATCTGTGAAATATCAAACACTCTAGCCTGGTTTTTGGGTAGAGTTAAAAAAAAAAATGAAATTCACAATTTAATACAAGATGGTTAAGGGGCCACAATATTCACCCGATTCACATTACTAGTATCCTTTCTTAGAAGTCAATGGCTTCAGCAATCTGAATTTAAAACGGCAAAAGGATGCTTATGGAAAATATTAAATTCGTACCCAGATTTTTCAGAGCAAAATCTGTGTACAATATTAACCCAAGAGATGCCATGATTTGATCAAAATTGACACTACACGGAGATATATGTTTGCACATCAATCAGATATATTGTGGATGGTTGAACTGAATATAGGATATTAACGGATATCTTCCATAAGTATTCCCGTGGAAACTTTACTCTCTCTTTTGGCTCCAACTAAGCTCCATGGGGTGATTTAAACAAATCTTAATCTGAATTTCTCAAATATAATCAATCCATTAATTTATGTATCAATTGCCATTGAAGAGAAAATTTTCAAAGAATTTTCTTATACATCAACGTGTTAACTTTGATCCCCTATTGTGGTTCCATGGGGGGGGGGGGGGGGGGGTCCATGATAAATATTAGAGTAAGCTTGAATCTACTATTTTTCCATGGGGATATGACACAAGCTTATATATTAATTTGACTAAATATAAGTTTTTGTGCTTGAAAAGAAAGCACCCTCCCATTTTACATGAAACTACCCTCTCCTGTCGACGTCGCCACATCGCTGCCGGGCGGGGACCAAGGTATAACAAATACGAATTTATAAGAATGTTTTCACTAAAGTTTTCTTGTTTGGTACAGCATTTCTTGAATATTTTTAAATGCCATAATCTTTTTTATATACTACACATAAGTTATCTCTCACTTGAAGGAGTATATCTCTGTTGTGAAAAAAATGAATTCATTCAAAAATGTCCTGTGGCAGTGTTTTTAAATTTGTCCAGAGTGACACTTGAAAAGAAAATGAACAGCTAAAACACGACCAACATACGCTAAACAAAACTTACAGAAACTTAACTTGTAGTTCAGGTAGGTTAACAAAAATAGCAATCATTGTCATTTCTTATACTAGAAGCAAAATCAGATTTATCTATGAGACAAATGTTCATTTTATCAAGTCGCAGAAACTAGTGCTAAGAAAAAAAAATTAGAACAATGTTTTGGAACTGGAAAAGGAACATATCCACTGCCTGAGGTTTCGACCCTATATCTGGGAGGCGTCATTCCGTGTATAATCCCAACCTGTAGGAAGAAGTATCTAGCAGTTGGCGTACACCATGTCAGTCTGTAGATAATCAGCAACAGTGTTGTAACATAACTGGTACTCTTCCTGAATTTCAAAAATCATTAACTTCATGTGATGAATAAAAATTATGAAAAGAATGATTATATATAAACTGTAAACGTACATATATTGAACATCATAATTAGCGCAATTGTCCTCATATACTGATTAATGTAATCATAAATTAGAGCATTTGGAACAAGAACAAAGCTTCTATATTTATTTGTACAATATTAGCGTAAACATAAATTACCGATACCATGCAGCGCGAAAAACAATAAATTATTAATACCGCTAAAATAAGTTATGAAATTATCACAATGCAAACTTGAACCGACATCTTATTACCAAACTTGATATGAACTCTGGTCGTGTAATTTGGAGTTGTCTTGTGATGGTAAATATGTCCACTTCATTGTCCAATGTCATTTGTTCTACAGCGTTCAACACCACACAGAATGACCCACATCGTTTGGCTCCGTCACTGTATAATAAGGAAAAAAATGGAACATGTTGGATTGTGCAATCCTGACAAAAAGAAACCGAAATAAAAAAAAAAACAAAAAAAAAAAAAAAAAAAACAAAACAGCGAGGTATAAAAACCTTGACAAAATGAGGATCCTTCCATCCGGGTGAGTTTTTTCTTCTATTTTTGCCTCTGTAATTAGGTCAATTAGAGCTCTACGATTTATTTTGTCATTCTCTCCTTTCCTTCGTTTACATTCCAATACAGACACTCTCATGCCGCTTAAACCCTACAATTAGATAGAAAATTAAAGGTATCTATTGTGATCGAGTGATATAAAGATGGAAATGATGATGGTTTCTATATTTATTCACTTATCAACAAGGTGATTCTACAAAAAAAATATTTAAGTAAATATATACAATTTATACATAGTAATGCATTACATATGACAAGTAAATACATATTAAACTTTATTGCTCATAATCTTAGTCGTTTATTTACTAAGAAAATTGTAAACCAAAGTTATTGACAATTAAGTAAAGGAGAAAGGCCGAAAGCTGTCCATTCTGTGAGAGAAAGAACTAATCGAGGGCCGTAGGCCCGAGATTAGTTCTTTCTCTCACAGAATGGACAGTTTGAGGCCTTTCTCCTACTTAAAACATGATTTCCTTTGTTCTGAAAATTAAATAAAAAATGTACAAAATGACAGGTAGCACACATACAAGGACAAGTTCATTGTTTACGGAATGGACAGTCACAGGTAAGCTAGGGATGCAGAGCAATTTGTTGAATAGCTATTGTGTTTCCAGATGCAAATAACAAAAGGTCTTTGTCTTAAGAATGGACAGTTACAGGTGGATTTTGTGGGATACTAGTGTTTATACAAGTATGTGACGCTCCAGAATCAGTTTACAGTTTGCGTTGTAAAGGCATACATGTTTTTCTGTGATTGAGAGGGTTTATGACAGAATCAAAATCTTATAAACCAAAATATGCACAAAATTAGTGATATTTGGATCTGGAAACAGAAAAGTAAAAGAAATATTAGCCAAATTTTGACCCAAAAATGAACTTCGACGACATATACAGAAAATCAAATTCAAATCAAACCTGGAAATGTTTTAATTGAATTCTATTTTTGAGGATATATTAACTGCAGCAGTGTATTGGTGAGATGCAAATTATGTTCTGTGTGTTGGATTAGCCACGAGCTAATCTTCTACCTGAAATGTTTTTCAAATGAAATCTGGAAATGTTTCATTTTTATTTATTTTCTACCGAAATATTAACAGCGGCAGTGTAGTGTTCATGTTGCAAACTGTTTTCTGGGTGGAGGATTTAATATTAGACGTATTTCTATCTGAAAATGAATTCTCCTCGAGGGAATGATTTTTCCGAAATTTAAATCAAATGTGAATTTGTGTCATTTGAATTCAAGTTTTGTGAAAATCAAGTTTTGGGTATTGAAATAATGTGCATCATTCACAGATTTAAAAGAGTAAAATTGAGTGGATGCTGTGCAGACATTGTGTTCTGGATTAACTTTAATCTCCGCGTTCTTTTTGTTATGTAAATTAAAAAGTATTTAATGTATTTGTTTTTGTTTTCCTCTGAACACATTCCAAAGTTTACCTGTAACTCTCCATTCTGTTTGTTTTAACTGTCCATTCTTTTTGAAAAAACTGTCCATTCTTAAAAGAATGGACAATTTTTCAAAAAGAATGGACACTTACAGGTGACTTAATGGATTGTTTGAGGAGTTAGCTCAACATTAAGCTATAGAATGGACAACACAAACAAAAGGTTTACGTCACAATCATGTTTTAACATTGAATAAAATACCTTGTGCGAGGTGGTAAAGTCTACAGTCAGGAATCGCCGGATCTGCAGTAATTTGAATTTTAGATTTGACTCGCTTTTATCACAAAAGAAACAATCTGATTTGATATTTCATTATGACAATAGCCAATGAGAAGTCATAGCCAATAGTAAAGCAAAGAAAGTGTTCACCAACTCAATCCACCTGCGCACACAAACTAGCTTAACTTTTATTCTCAATGACATAGTTAATTTATTTGGAATAGAAACATTTATTCAAAATGAGAAATTGTAATAAATATATTTCATATATATAAATCTGCCCACATACTATGTATAAATTGTATATATTTACTTAAATATTTGTTTGTAGAATCACCTTGTTGATATGTGAATAAACATAGAAACCATCATCATTTCCATCTTTATATCACTCGGTCACACTATAATTTATTTTTTTCCCTAAAACAGTTTTATAGTACTATGTGCAGATAATAAATAACCTTTTGTTGCAATACAATGTTTGTCCTGTTGACTGTTTCTGACTGTGTATAATCTGTCATTTTTACAGTGAATGTTCCAACTTGTTTCTTTTCATTTTCAGCTGAAAACCAAAGGGAAGACTGCAAAAAACATTAAAACAGAAATGCAAGATATACATTTCATTTAATTTTAATCCACATTCGTACGTCCAAGCAGTGTTTACCTCTACAAATTTCTGCCACATTGCATGAAAAATTATAACGAGATACTTTATTATAATTTTTCTAATCAATTTTTTATGCCCCCGTATCAAAGATTCGGGGGTATATAGTTTTCGCCCTGTACGTCCATCTGTCTGTCTGTTTGTCCGTTTGTCCACAAAAACTTTAACATTGCCCATAACTTTTGATTGGTTGGAGCTATGGCTTTCATATTTCACATGTGTATTCCTTGTGACAAGACCTTTCTTTGGGTAATACCATATTTGACCTTTTGACCTTGACCTTGGAGTTTGACCCAGTTTTGCAAAATTTTTCCCAACTTTAACCTTGGCCATAACTTTTCAACGATTGGCACTAGGGCTTTCATACTTCACATGTGTATTTTCTGTGACAAGATCTTTCTTTGGGTACCACCACATTTGACCTTTTGACCTTGACTTTGGAGTTTGACCTACTTTTGTAATACTTTAACATTGGCCATAACTTTTGAACGGCTGGTGCTAGGGCTTTCATACTTCACATATGTAATTCATGTGACAAGACCATCCTTTGGATTCCAACAACTTGGACCCTTTGACCTTGGAGTTTGACCTACTTTTGAAAAACTTTAACTTTGGCCATAACTTTTAAAATGACTGATGCTAGGGCTTTCATACTTCACATATGTAATCCTTGTGACAAGACCTTTCTTTGGATACTAACAACTTTGACCCTTTGACCTTGACCTTGGAGTTTGACTTACTTTTGGAAAACTTTAACCTTGGCCATAACCTTTGAACCGTTGGTGCTAAGGCTTTCATACTTCGCATATGATCCTTGTGACAAGACCTTCCTTTGGATACCAACAACTTTGACCCTTTGCCCTTGACCTTGGACTTTGACTTACTTTTCGAAAACTTTAACCTTGGATACAACTTTTGAAAAGTTGTTGCTAGGGCTTTGATATTTAATATATTTTTTTCCTTGTGACAAGACCTTCCTTTGGATACCAACAATTGAAATCCATTGACCTTGACCTTCGAGTTTGTCCTACTTTTGAAACACTTTAACCTTGGTCATAACTATTGAACAATTGGTGCTTCAGCTTTCATATTTTACCTGTATATTTCTTGTGAGAAGGCCTTTCTTTAGGCACCATTAATTTTGACCATTTGACCTTGATGTGTTAATTACTTTAACCTTTTCCATATCTATTCAATGGTTACTGCTAGGGCTTTCATATTTCACAGGTATATTCCTCGAGACAAAACCTTACTTTGGGTACCGACATATTTGATTTACATTTAAGAAATTTTAACCTTTGCTATACGTAAGTTGCCATACGGGGGCATCAGTGTTTCACAAACACATCTTGTTTTTATATAGAATTTTATCAAAACATACACATAATAATTATAAGTATTTTTTGAGATACAAATTTAGTTTTTGATAAGGGGCAACGATTGCACTTTATATATATATATATATATATATATATATATATATATATATATATATATATATATATATATATATATATATATATATATATATATATATATATATATATATATATATATGTAAAGCACTAAAAACCAACAACACTGCATATCCTAAGTGTCGGATCTACTAAGTAGATACAAGGTCACGGATGGAAATTTATATAAAGCACTAAAAATGACCAACGACACGAACAATAATTATTGTTCGTGTCGTTGGTCATTTTTAGTGCTTTATATATATATATATATATATATATATACATATACATATACATATATATATTTATGACAAGTGAACTACAAATAAGTAGTCAAATGTGACCAATTTAATATACAGTACTATAATTTATTTTTGTGAGATCAAATTTTCTTTGTTGAGGAAAATTATTGGTTTAGGAGAATATTTTTTCAGGGTTATAAAGAAATGAAGAGTTGTCCTGGATTGAAATTTTTGTGGTGGACATGAATTCCGATGATCTCTTAATACCATATATTTTTGTTTGATTTCAAAAAGAATTTGGAGAACTATACATTAGAATCCAAAACTAGAAAAAAGGAAGAAACAACTACACCCCCCTCCCCCCCCCCCCAAAAAAAAAAAAAAAAAACTCCCATAAAACTGATCTGCAAGGCACATGTATATCAGATTATATTTTGCAATTGTATTCCTATTATTTGTTGAGAATTATGAACATATGTGTTTGTATCAATTCTAACCAAAATCACCCATCTACTTGATACTGATGCCTTAATTTTTTGTTTTGAAATAATGTCTTGTTTATTATTTTGTTAAGTATGGATTTAGTATGAGTTTTAATACGTAATTTAACATGTCCTCTATTGTACCGATTCAATTTCCATCAATGGAGAGAGTGATACAATGGTTGGTGTATAATATCCCTTTACAAGTCTCAGGAAATTTTCCGTGTAATCTGGGAGAGGGTACTGGGCACTGATGAAATGGTCACTCTTTGTAAAAGACTAAAATACAATGTATAAAGAAAATTAACTATTTGTAAAATTTGAACATTGAATCACGTCAAGCCCAGGTACTAAAAAATATGACAGCATAAAACTAGCACATGAGATCGAATTATGCCTCAAGTATAAACTTTTTTTTTCATTTATGTTTTAGGAAATAATAATTCTTACTTCATAAAAAAAACACCAAAATCCTTCCCGTAGCTCCAGTTTCTGCACCCCCCCCCCACTTTACACATACATTATTATTATTATATACCTTTTAAAACGTTTTTCCATAAGAGATTTTCTTATTTTCTCACTGAAATGCCAATGCTTGGTCGATTACATATACAGACCTGTACAGAAACTGCGTTGTAATAGACGTTCTGTCCTTTCGTATTGGACAGCATACACATATATCTTTCAACTGAAAAATAAATTACAAGTTTGAAGAACTATTATGTTTCGTGCTTGTAGAATAAATGATGTATTAATTAAACTCTGATGCAAATTCCTCTAAGGGGGTTAATACACTAAATTAAACACTTCTCCAAATGTTCTCCAACGTAGCACTTAGACGAAATTACATTTTTTGGTCCAAGTAATGACAGTTCCTTTGCTTTCGATTTTGTCTGTGAACTTGAAGGATAATGAATTTCCTTTTTTTATGTAATGAAAGATACATGTATGTCTTTTTATATCAATGGATTTACAATAATATAATAATTAAGGTTTAAGGCGTTATCACTATATCATATTCTTTTTTTAGTTGTTTACAACTCAAGTACACATGGTATCAAACTTCACACTTATTAGGCAATTTCTCTTTGTCTATATATTCTAGTCTTACTCACAGTCAATGAAAGGAATGTTCATTATATAGGAAAAAAATCGTGGTTTTGTAGCTTGCCGAGGCAAAAACATTATTTTAATTTTTTTATATATGTAAAGTGACTTCTGTGGGTTTTATGGAGACATGAGTTCTAAATAAATTGTGTACACGTTTAAAGTTAATTTACCAGACAAAACAGTAGGAGAATAATTGGCTGATAAAAATGCTCTCCCTGATTTGTAATCTTCGGGTGTGTATTTTTTCCTTACGGACACCAATTCCTGTAAAATAACAAAAAGAGTACTCTTACTATAAAAAAAAAATGTTGAAATAGATATCGTTCTTAAATATCATACGAATAGCACAAGGAATTTTTTTTTATACATATATACTGTTAAAATAATGATGTATGAAATAAATGGAGAAGGAAAGAGACATTATCTAATCATTGCGTTTTATGTTTAATTTATCACCTCATATTCTGCAGACATTGGGGATTTATTGGCCACCTCTCCGAGGTTGATATAACATGAGTGTTCCTGGAACTCCTGTAGAAATGTTTCTGTTGAGATGGGCCTCGATTTTCCTCTGAATGATTCAAGTAATGCCATATAGACAACTTTGTATTGATCCTAAAACATGAATAATAAATATGATTTAAAAATCGTGTAACGTGTTCCTCTTTTCTCTTTTTACAGGGATTTTTATGCATTACATTTCCTTAAAACTACCTGCATTATTACAGAATGATATAGATTCAATAAATTAAAAGGCTCTAGATTTTTGTTTTTGTTTGTTTTTTGCATTTCATATATCTAACATTATTTTAATATTTTTTTTTATGAAAAAGTATACGTTACCCTGTTTTCTTCTTTGAGCCTGGCGTTCTCATTTTCAGACAAATCGAGAACTATTCTGTAAAACTCTGTCACAGCTACAGACTTTTCTAATTTTGTTTTTCTTGTTTGTTCATTTGATTTTGAATTCATTATTGGATCTTCAACTACATTCATTTCCATCTCCTGAATGTTTTCATCTGTTAGTTAAATAAAATATTTATTACAATAGTATTCATGAATTCAAGTGTCAAGATACATGTATAATGTCACAAGAAAAGGTTTATTAATTGTATTGTATTTATATCCCCTATGCTAAATAGCTATTCACAGTTATTGCATTTTCATTAAGAATTGAAATATTGGATGCAGGGGATTGATTTATTATCTAAACATTGTTTGATGGGAAATATTTTACGAGGATTTATATTAGTAAAAGTATTTGATGCCAAATGAAAAAAGAAATGTTTTAAAATACTTTTTGTTAAAAGCTCATCAACAGAAGAAAATTCAATTATATTAGTCTCTTCATTCGATGCATCTTTCTTTCTTCTTTTCCATATATATATATATATATATATATATATATATATATATATATATATATATATATATATATATATATATATATATATATCTATTAGGGATGTCAAATCGGTCAATTTTTGATAATCGGTTACTCGGACGTTTTTCCGATCGAGTACCCGGGTACTCGGTAAAAATGTAAATACAAGTGTGTTAATTTTCTTGAGCCCCGTTAAATTCCGCTAAACCCCAAAGCTGTTTTTATCACGTTTATAAATTTATACAAACATCGATTCCAACGTAAATGCTTTTTGGTACTAAATGTATTTATCAAATAAACACAGAAGACACAATTAATACATCAAAAATTACAAATGGTTTACGGTTCTTGTTTAGGATCTATTTCATCAAAAGGAGGACAATCTGTTACGCAGGTTTGTTATTATTAGACTAGCCAAAGAGAAGGAACGGATGTTGTCGGGATTGCTAGTCTAATATTCTGGTAAGTTTAGTGTATACGGGGGGAAACAATTTCATATGTTGATTGTTTCCTCTGTAGACAATAAACTTACTACGCAAACTGACTTTCAACATTTATTTTGAATCTTTAGTTATTTCTAAATATTTCTTCACTTTTGAAGTGGGTAGCGACATTTCTATGCATGTCCGATTTCGCTGCGTATATTAACTAAATAATTTAAAACTGATTTAAAGATAATAGACCATCGATGTTCACTGTAAACAATCAATGATTAAGGACCACAATGAGAACAGCTGGGTGATTGATCACTTATTACTGTATATACACAGCCACAGGCGATAATTGGTGTTTTACTGGAGTAGAAGACTACACGCTATAATTACCGTATGCATATTTAAGTTATTTTTTGATAAGTTTTTGATAAAAATAAGTGCTTTGAAATAAGAAAAAATACACATCCGAGTAACCGAGTACCATTTTTAGTATTCGATACTCGGGCGTTCGATCGAGTACCCGGTTAACCGGGTCTCGTTGACATCCCTAATATATATATATATATATATATATATATATATATATATATATATAATATATATATATATATATATATATATATATATATATATTCTTTGAAATATTATTTAATTCTTCTCCAATCATACATAAAGATGTTTTTACTTCAAATGTAATAAAAGCAAATATCGAGTAATTACTATTCCTGCTGTTATTATGATAAATAGAAGAGTTACAGATCCAACTGTACCTCCTACTGCAGCAGGTTTTACTGTATCATCCTGTTGGACTGATGCTTGTAAAAAGAAAATAGAAAACCTGTCTGATTACAAAGAAACTCTAAAGAACTTTAAGAAAATGTAAAATAACAAATTTTTTCGGTAACATCGAAACATATGATTTTTCAACACTTTATAATTCACTTTATATTCTCAAAAAAGCTTAAAGTTGGGGCTTTTTTTGTCAAAGACAACTGCTTCTTCATCATCTTAAAAAAATGGAACTCGGAAATTTTCATACTTTGTGATTGGTCATATACAAATTATTTTTTCGTTCATTTCTTTAAGGTAAGGTTTATAGACGTAAACTTCCCTGAGAACCCTCTCATGATAATTTTAAGTTGCAATATTATTCAGTTTAACTTTAATTTAGTATACATACACTGGATACACAAATCTCCCAAATATCCCTGTGCACAACCATCTTCACAAGATCCATTCAATGGGTTACAACTCGTATTATTAAAGCAATGACCGCTGCACATATGTAGACAGTCTTTACCATATGTCTCTCCAGAACATCCTAAAATATACAGGAAACTTGTAAAACCACAGAGTATAAACGATATTTTTTTAAAATCTTAAATATTGTTTCTTATTTATATGTTATTATTATCGGACAAACTCTGTATTCATACTTCTAAGACTGTAATCATATGGACTGCATATATATATATATATATATATATATATATATATATATATATATATATATATATATATATATATATATATATATATATATATATATATATATATATGTATGTATCTGTACTTAATATCTAGAAGGTCCTGGGGAAGAATAGTGCATGCGCTAACCAGGTTACCTTCTTTAAATAAAGTATCATTATTATTATTATTTAATATTATTAAATTGAATTCAGTTACTAAGATAGAAATATTAAACTAAAATCATGAGATTTACACACTTTTATCCTTACTGTTTCTATCTTACCTTTGTTTCATTTCAAACCCATCCACCCAGGTTCACATCTATATAAGCAGTTGCCTTGTATGTGAGAACATGACTGTTTTACACAGTTCCTACTACAGGGTAGAGAGCAGTTCTCTCCATACCAGCCTTCATCACAAGCTACTCGTTAACAAAGTACATGTATATAATAAACAAGGTAATTATCAAGTCTTGTAAAGAAAAAGTATAGAATGTATTGAATTTTAAAATACATATGACTTCATATCATACAGGTATTGTCTGTTATGGAATTAAAATCTTCAAAATAAAAGGTCTCTCAAAAGAACTTAATATAAAACTTGTGTAAAAAAAATAAATAAAACTTAAAATATTCCCCAATTTACCATGAATGATTTCAAAAATGATAATTTTCCTCCCAATGTAATCTCAACTACAGGACTTAAAAATAAAATACTTTGGTTTTATATTCATGGAGTTATGTAGTATGTGTTTTATTGAAATCAAGTCATAAATGTTGGGGAGGAAATGTTTTGAAATAATAGTAAAAATAACTAGTGCTATATCAGACAAATCAGACAAAGACTGGACGTTTAGTAACTTTTCACTAAAAGGTACACATTTAGTAAAAAAAGGAACACCGTACATGGACATGCACGAACAGATTGTTTTGAAAGACATTAAAAAGTATATCAATTTTTGTAAGCATGACACCGCCGTTCATCAAAATTAAGATATGGATACAAAGAATTATGTATCTTACTGTAACTTCCCTAACAAAAATTTACCATAGCTAACTATAGTTTTTATATGAAATATGAAGATAACGAACAGTTCAAGCTCAAAAGTCCATTTAAACAATACAAATCGGGAGCAGAGCAAACACGAACCTAAAAAAAAAATAAGAGGTCCTATCAGGTGCCATGGAGGAGTGAGCATTCCCTGCCAACCGGTCACACCCGCCGTGTGCTCCTTGTCATGATTGGGAAAAACGGAAAAATCCGTAGACATACAGAGTGTAAATAATGGCCATAGCAATTAGTATGAAAACGTCATTCAGCATTCGACTTAATGATGGATTGTATTTGCTAACAAGCTCATTGTATCGGCAATAGAACTTGCGAAATGATGACTTTAAACGAGACTGTTGATATTCTTGTTTTATCAACTTGTTTGTCAACAACTTGCCCCGTTCTGGAAATTGTTCGTACGTAGAGCATGCTCTTGCGTATCGAATGAACTTAGAGATAAACTCCATTTAAAGGAGATAAAGGTACATTGCAACATAAATAAGGGAAGTTGACGATAGAAAAAGTTAAAGTCATCATGGTTTTGTTGTTAGGTTACCATTAAGGTCTTTTTCTTGTAAAATATCCATATATGAAACAGATGTGTCAGACTCATGCTATCTTTTATTTCAAATTCACGGGGATATATCGAGTCGATATATGAATGGAAATAACTATTGTTATTTGATGTTATATTGATATGTAATCGATATATCTAAATGTCGAATTGAAGACAGAAACAACAGTAAGTGTGTTCTTCTTCTCATATAGAAGTTTTTGAATAAATTTTGCTTCATATGAAAATAAGAATAGGGAATTGCGACAGACTGTTGGAAGACTTGATCTCCAACAACAACATAGATATTGTCAATCAGAAACTCGAGCATCTTTTTAATATCAACTTTGGAGAACTTGTGTGTATAGTTGTGTGTAAAATCAGAATGTTTTTTAACAAAATAATTTTGCAAATGACCAATAACAAGGTAAGTAAATTTACGAGTTCCATTTTTATTGAAAAAGCAACTGTCTATGATGTCAAAAAGCCCGGACTCTAATTTTTTGTGAGGAATGGTTGTATAAAGTGTTGAAAAGTCGTACGTTTTGATATTATTGATTTTGGTAAAATTTTATTATACATTTATTTTGTATACATTTATCGACCATAGAAGTTGTGAAATTGTGACTTAAAACAAGACTGCTGATATCATTTGTATCATTGTTTTAAAATTTGTTCGTACGTAGAACATACTCATATGGAATCAACTGGGAGAAATTAACTCCATAATCAAATTCAACAAAAATACTCTATCGTGCATGTTGAATCGGCTTATCCTGAATTCATTCGCGGGAAATTCACGCCATTAAAAACGGGTCTTTAAATACTAGAATACTTTGTTGAAAATCTAATGCAACGCATTTCCTGAGAGTGTCGTTGACACGTGACTCTCATAATGTACCTTAAAATTTAAAGATACCTCAGGTAGAGATTGTCTTTGGAAAACATACGATTTCTATGTGTATGAATTTGCTGCTATCTATTTACATATAGGCCTAACCTTTCCTGCTTTTCTGCACTCTGTAGAGACTTTTCTAAATGTAAAATTGGCTTGATACACGATTTAAGTAACCTTTACTGTTCAGTAACATGTAGTATGATTACTTGTTTATATGATCATGACATCTCGTTTAAAGTAAACTTTTCGCAAATTCTATGGTAGATACAATGAAATTGTTTGCAAATATAAACTGTCGTTAAGTCGAATGTTGACTGGTGTGTTTTATATCAATTGTTAGGCCATTATTTTCACACTATTGTCTACGGATCATGACAAATGGTACACAGCGGATGTGACCGGTCGACAATGGATGCGTACTCCTCCAAGGCACCTGATCCCACCTCTGTTTTCACAGGTTCGTGTTGGTTTTGCACGCAATTGTTATTGTTTTTATTGTTTAATTTTATTTTTTAGCATAGCCACTGTTCGTTATCTTCACATATTTTTGCTGCTATTAGCGCGTGCCGCATTATCTGTATTTTTAATATCTCTACCAAATCCATTGAAAGGTAAACAGGAAAGACTTATTCTAGTTGGAAATCAAAATATGATGAAGTTGAAAAAAAAATCACCTAAGATTTTTTACAATGAGGATTTGAAATACTGGGATAGATATAAACAGTTCTACAGAGGTGATTAGTAGAACATAATGTATATATATTGTTTTGATTTTGGTGAAGAGTTTGTTCCTTGTTATAAAAACAACGATTATTTGGAACAACATAAATATGTTTAATTCATGGCTATATTTCATAAAACACTAAATAAAATTTGATATATGAAAATCAAGTATATGAATAAATCCATATGGTACAATCATAATATACGAATGGGATACAAAAAATTTTTTTTTAAAGCGAGGTATAAAATGGTGTTTAAAATATTTGATATTTCTTAAATGATGAATGGAAATTTTTACTTTTTTTCTTATTGATTTTCAGCAAAGATTCTACTTGTCCAATGAATTCATTACGCATTACAACAGTATTATCTGAATACTGTGCTAGAGCATTGGCAAACTCTTTAGATAAATCATGTTAAAAAGGAATCCACCTCTTCCATTCCTTTTCATTTTGACATTGTAATTGAACATGAAAAGTATACATAAATTGTTTACAAATATTTGAATAACAACCATGTCGTTTCTACATCAATATTTAGATAGAACCAGGAATTATCAATGCCGTTAGAATCTAATATTTGTGTTCAAGATGTTTTGAAGGTCTCTTTTCGAACATAATCAGATACTTCTGTGCAATGGTTACAATAAACTTTTCAGAATCCTTTCATTTAATCCCTATTTGAAAATAATGAATGTCTAGTCCAACAAGCATTCTGAGAGTATTGCATTAGCAATACTAGCCCCCTACCGGCAAGTGTAATCTGGTTCCCGTTAAAAATTGAAAATGCCATAATTCCGTCAAAAATCATTGAAGCGGAACGAGATGCAAACTTGACCTATAAGTAATCAAGGTAAAGTCACATACCAAAAATCAGCTCAATATCTGCAAGCGTTTAGAAAAAAATCGCGGAAAACCCTTTAAAATTGAAAAGGTCGTAATTCCGTCAAAAATAAATGAAGCGGAACGAAAAGCACACCTGATCTGTAACTCATCAAGATACACTCACATACCAAAAATCAGATCAATATCTGCAAGCGTTTAGGGAAAAAAGCGGAAAACCAAGTGGGACAGACTGACAGAGAGACAGACAGACAGACGGACGGACGGACAGACTCAGAGGAAACCTATAGTCTCCTCCGGTATCACCGGTAGGGGACTAATGAGCACTGTACATGTACTTTGATAGAAACAAAACAAGAAAGGTGTTAGGCATAACATATATAATATTATTTTTACCTTATCACAGATCAGGGAGTTTTGCCGCATTTATGATATTTTTTCACACTGTGACAAAATATCACTGTGACAAAATAGATCTTCTTCATCTATATATGTAATTATATTCCACTCACACCTGCAACTAGTGTTCATGTTTCCCAACTTATTCTGTACGCAGGAGCATGTGCTGAGCAAGATCAATTTGAATGAGAAAGGCTACTGAAAAAGTTGATATTACAGTGTTTTCAACAACCTCTTTTTAAGTCAACATTCCGTAAATTCTATTGTTGACATAATAATTTTGTTTACATAATATATAACCAAACCTTTACCCGGGTCGTCTTTTGACTGTCATTTGTAATTTTTATATCAATTTTGACTACTTACTACTTTATTTTTCTGAGCAATTAAATGGAATCACGGCGAGTGTAATCAGTCGGCAGGGGATGCTTATTCCTCTTAGGCACCTGATCCCAGAGGTCCGACGTTTTGCCCTGTCCTGTTCACAATTCGTATTGTTTATAGGATTTAACAGATCGACCATTGTTCTTTATCGAAACCTTTTTCATTACAGACAACACAGGCAGGATAGAAGAAAAGACGAAGGAAACCTTATTATCGCATAAACTCTTCTGGCCTTCTGCCGGTACAGTTAAACGTTAAAGAAAATTATATTCATGATGTAAAATATTTGAAATCTACATATTTCCAAACTGAAAAAAATAGTTAAAGAACTATAAAGGTAAAAGCATATTTTTGCTCCCAGAAAAGCTTAATTTTGAAAATTACTAGAAGTGTACACAATAGAATATATTGTAAGAAAAAAAATTAACTGACAAAATTATTGTAGTTTGGAAGTTGATTATCGATAATTCTTGTTTCTGTCACGTCACAAACTATCCGTTATTTTCACGAAAGAGGACAAAACGGACAAATTTCGTTCAATTTTGAGTATAAAATTACTGGTCTCAAGCTCGCACCAAACCAATATTTACATATTTCATTGATATTTACTTCTACACATTTTTTTTTCAAAAGATCGAGCTTGAACCGACTTGCGCTCGATGACTTTTAATCAACAAATCGAAGTGAAACCCCCTTTTCCTCTCAAAGTCTTAAATTTTCTTAATCTTCTTGACGTCATTTCTTACATATGGTGTCATGGCTGATGAACATAGCAAAAGTTTTAAGTCTGCAGATATTCCCCTGGTTTAGAACATAATTATAGATTTCTCCATCAAAGTTTGATTTGGGGGACAGATATTGGTTATTAGAAAATATAGTCCTTCTTTAAAATTTAATTTATGATACCTATAATGTGCAGTTAATGATAGTTGTTTCAGTCAAGTGAACAAACCAATAAATAAAGCTACAATACAATTATACATCAGACATCAAACCTTTATCACAATGCTTCCCGATATATCCAGGTTTACAGTCAGAGTTACAACTTCCTGTTGTTCTGTTACAAGGGACGCCATTTACACAATGCCCATAACAGATCTCAGACTCGTTCAATACCTCTGTCCCGGATATTGAAACAAAGGCAAACATTCTTGTGCCTCGGTCAACTAGATATAAGTATGTGTTTATTAGTCCCCTACCGGTGAAACCGGAGGGGACTATAGGTTTCCTCTGAGTCTGTCCGTCCGTCTGTCTAGCTGTCCCCCTGTCTGTCTGTCAATCTGTCCCACTTGGTTTTCCGCATTTTTTTTTCTAAACGCTTGCAGATATTGAGCTGATTTTTGGTATGTGAGTTTATCTTGATGAGTTACAGATCAAGTTTACATTTCGTTCCGCTTCAATGACTTTTGACGGAATTACGACCTTTTCAATTTTTAAGGGTTTTCCATATTTTTTTTCTAAACGCTTGCAAATATTGAGCTGATTTTTGGTATGTGACTTTACCTTGATGAGTTATAGATCAAGTTTGCATTTCGTTCCACTTCATTGATTTTGACGGAATTATTGCATTTTCAATTTTTAATGGGAACCAGATTACACTTGCCGGTAGGGGACTAATATTGCTAATGCAATACTCTCAGAATGTTTGTTTTAAAAGCTGTTGATACTGCTCATCTCTTTAGTTTTTTTTCAAAAGCATGTCTGCATTGCAGAATCATCCAAACATGCTATTTTAATCAACTTGTAACAGAAATTAAGAAGTTAATGTACTACTAGTAATGTAAAAGTAGATTTTGAATTTATTGACGATTTCCCACACGTCAATCTTTTTATTATATTACATATATCGAATGAAATGACATCGGGATTTGAGATATCTGTAGCTTGCATTATTTCGCACTATTATAAATTATTGTGATCAAACAATCATAAATTTTTCATCATTATTAATTATAAACAATTAAATTCCTACCATTTAACAACACACTTGTATAACACCGAGTTTGGCTAAACTTTGTACATGCTTCTTGTCAGCTTGGCCTGTCATAAGTATTACATGTTTGTGACGTATTTTGTCACCTTGGGAGAACAATTATATCTGATAAAGCAAAAAAGAGAGGTAACAAATTATTTAGTTAAATGTTACAATCAATTTTATCATTCCTGCACCAGTAGGGATTTGAAAAAAACTATATGTAAACTCAGGCTCAATTAAATATGGCCGCCGTATTAGCATCGGTCTTCATACTTTTGCTTATTCTCAGTTAATAGCTGTTCTTTTCTCCAATGAATTTGACGGGGATTCTGAGCTTAGTCCTAAAATGCAATTGAAAATGGTACGGAAAGGAGATTAACAGTGGACAGTGCTATGGGTTTGAGAGGAACAAAGCGTGACGTGAATACAGATCAGTATCTCTGTCTCTTACGTCTGGTTCTTTCAGATGATATACAGTTTAATCCGGGACTGCTATTTACTCGATCAACTTTTATGTGTATCGACTGCAAAAGAGAAGTAAATGGAAATAAACAAGTCATTTAGAACTTTTGGCTCCGACAGTATGGTTCTGGGATACATATGTTGAGCTTATTGCTGACCATTACGATCTGGATCAATCTGTTGATGATCTTGTTAAAGGCCTTTCAAAAATGTCACTTTCCGTCATTTAAAGGTCTTTTGAATTTAAAACAAATTAGATCAAATTAATATTATATATTATGACAAGCTGATAAACATAACATATTTGCTATCACAGAAAGCAAATTAGATAAAAGTATCTTGGACGTTGAAGTTCAACGTTCAACGTTGACATTCAGCTCGAAGAGACAGAAATCAGCACAGAGGGGATGGCCTTGTGTATCTTAAAGAAAAATGGATCATATTTAATATACAAATACGCGACATGGAAATGCTGTTTTGGATATAAAGCACTTTAAAATCATAATCGTTGTCGTATATAGACCACCAGTTGCAAAAGCTGAATGGATTTCTTTTTTTTTCCCGAAAATGCTAATGACGAAATAATAACAGATTGTAGTGAAGTGGTTATGCTTGGCTGTTTTAACATCGATGAACTTTAAAATACGAAATTCAAATCTTCAAATGAATGATATTATTCCTATTGAAATTAATGACCATCATTTAGTATATACCATTAGAAATGAAACAACCAAAGAAAATATTAAGCATGTATATATCAAATATACAGATATAACACGCAGACGAATATTCATTTCTATCCGAACTTACTTCGACGAACTGGGACTCGATTATGAATCTGAAAATGTGAACAATATGTGGGCTTTATTTAAAGACACTATTAAAAAAAATCATTAATTAGTCAGCCCTTGGGCTGACTAATTATCTTACGAAGAACATAATATGCGCTTGCTTGCTTTAGAATTCTGGGTATTCTGGATAACCTTAACGCTTACTGCATCGTTTGAGTGGGGGTCAAACGACTTGCGTGACCTGGGAAGAGGTTTTTGAGTAATTTACTCCTGTTAATTTCGTTTCAGTAAAATTGATATTGATTAAACAATGAAAACCCTATTTGAACACCACATACCGGTAATCTCTAATTTGAACTTAAAACAGGAAGGCCTTTGACACTGATTTATTTTTTAAAAAACTTTATATATTGAAGCGTTGTACTGTCTTGTAGTTTCAATTGTTTTAAATTGACTTGCAGTAATTAACTGATTAGCATCAGATATCATGAAACGTGTGTTTCGCGCAGCGAAATTGCATAAATTCATTTAAAGATGTTCGCTCCTAAGCTTTTGAGCAGATTTTTGTCTTGACCTACATTTCAAAAAATGGACACCATTTGATCTTGACCTTGATGTTCTACTTACTTTTGAAAAACTTTAACTTTCACCATAACTTTTCAACGGTTAGTGTTAGGGCTTTCGTATTTCACAGGCATATTTCTCGACACAAGATCTTTCTTTGGGTACGAACATTTTTGTTGTTTTGACCTGGAGTTTGACTTGCATTTGAGAAACTTTAACCTTCGCCATAAGCTGCTATACGGGGGCATCAGTGTTTCACAAATATATCTTGCTTATTCATAAAATCTTAGATCAGCCTAATGAGATCAGCTTTATTGACTTTTTACGAAAATATGCTATTTGAATGTGAATTTGAATTCCGTAATTAAACCTTCCGTTTTGTTTTTAATTGACAAAATAATGCTAGAATCTGCATGCATGGTATTGCATTAAACCCCAAACCATCCCCTCCCATGCGGAAAAACTATTTTAAAAAAGGTTCAAAGGTCCCGATGCTTTAAAACATTATCTCGGAGATAAAAAAATCCACTGGCTGACTCTCTAAGCTTTTTTTCAAAAGCTAAACTTGTATACACTTTACAATGAGAGAAATACGCATCGGAGCAGATTCTGAAAGTGGAACAATTAGTGGAGTGACAAGACCATCAAGATTTAGAAATTAATGCACCACCCTACCCTACGGCTAATTTGTAGTTTTTTGGAAAAGTATATTATAAAGCAATTATTTTCGTCCGGTCATAGAAAATTCTATGGTCAAAATTTAAATTAATAGGAGGTTAAAGATCAATGAGTGAGATCTGACCATAATAATGAACATATTGAAAAAGTTTAAGGAATTCATAAATTTTCTCGGATTTTGCAATAAAGTATTGAAAATTGATTTTTGCAGTGAAAATGTCGATTTCGTAGAAAAAGAAGAAAAATTTGAACTATAATGTCCATCTGTCTGTCCGTAAATTAATTGTCTTGGAGTAAATTTATTTCAGTGCTGATGTAAAGGTTTTTTGTTCATAATCTACGACCAAGCAATATTAAGACAGATGCATGCATAAACAGTAATTAGGAAATTAAAAAAAAGACAATAACCCACCCACCCCCACCCCCCTTTCACCCCAACCCCCAAAATACGAAATATGACTAAATTTTGAGTTTTGTTGCTTTGAAGTAACATTTTTATTTAAACATTAAACATCAATAATTTTGAATATATTGAACTTTAAAAAGACATTTTCTGTTCCTGTAGCATATTAATCATCTATGTGACGTCATACACGTTAAGGCATAATGATTATAACGTTTTTGTTTTGTTTATAATGATAGATTCGTTAAAGGGTATTTATCACGTATCTAAATTTCTTACAAATGAAACACTATTATATTCTTGAAACAAATAATTATCGTTTAATTATTAAATAATTTTGAAAACGGTCGTAATTAGGCGATATTTTAAAACGCCCGTAACATAGGGTCCTCGAAGTAAAAATTCTCCACTCATTAGATAGGTGTCAAGTGGTACTGGACTTAATGAATATGAAAGTAGTTTTATCAACGGTTCTTATACTTCGAAATATACAGGTGTATGTTCGGCGCATATGACCTTTGGACATCTAGGGTTCTTTTAGGGGTCATATCTGTTGTCACAAGACAAGAGCTAACCGAGTGCTAAAACTCTTGATATTTTTCTTCTCCCTCAAACAATTTGTAAAAAAAAAACAACAACAAAACAAACAAACAAACAAACAAACAAACAAACAAAAAAACAAACAAAAACAAAAAACCAAAAAAAAACTAAAACAAAAAAAAAACCCGGATTCTTATCTGTGTTTCGAAAGGTTATGAAAATCAGATGAGATTTCGAATAAGCGGTAACTCGTAAATGTATATACTCGGTTGTGAGGATTAAGGAGCAGAAAGATTTTGGACTTGTATCGGTAATATATTAGTAGTAGCAATTCCATGAAACGGGACAAAGAAAGCATTTTTATATTATGACGATATGCATTTGTTAGAGCTGTTATTTCTCTATCTTGTTCACTACTGCATCACTTTACAAGGATATGTTTCATTTGAAAAGCAGAATAGAAACTTGATTGAGCTCACAAAATGATACTCCCGCTCCAAGAGCAGTTTTCGTCCGGTCGAAGGTGATTCTTTAAGGAGGATCTCTACACCTATGAAGTGTAAATGAATTTTTGTTTCATGCATTTGTTTCTAATAATAGACTCAATATCCAATAAAATAAAGCTCCAAAGTATTTCACTTAATTTTTTGGAAATATTTAAAATATTTAATTTATTTTGTAGAAACCCCCAAATTCTCTATTTTTAAAAGCCTTATTATTCAAACCCAACCCATGAAAACACTTTTCTAAATATTTATATTTTACATGTTTAATTAAATTGATACAATCAATCAACGATATAAACGATCTAACTCTGTAGTAATCATTGTGACGTCACAATCGTGAAACACGAAGTTTAGTAGCGGGGGGAAACACGACGGTCACGTGACTGTCTTGGCCGATCAGATTCTATTTTACTTGTCGTTATTTATATGAGGTATAATAAGATTTAGTATCGCCTGCTATTCTCAATTTTTTAAAAGCATTTCTTATTTTTCCCCATATAAAATTTTGAGTACTTATTTAACCTCCGTTCTAGCCCTGAGCCCCAGGGACCATGATTTAAACAAATTAATATAAATCTCCGCTATGATGGGATGTCTGCATGATAACACATGTATATTATTTATACTGTGGCCCTACCGTTAACCTTGAACCCTTATTGTTGCCCCTCCTTACCACCCCCAACCCGGGGACGATTTGTGCATACAATCCTGAATCTGCAGTAACTGAGGATGCGTGCATATTAATATGACTAATCATGGCCCTGCTTTTTATTTCTCAATAGAATCTTCTTTTCACAGAGTAGGTTTGTTTATTTGGAAAAAAAAAATCAAATTTCCTTTTACACAAGAATAAGTTGTGGTAAGTTTGGTTGAAATTGGCCTAGTGATTCTGGAGAAGGGGTTGAGAATGCATGAAGTTAACAAATGACAAACAAACAGACATTCTTCGACAAGAAAAGCACACTCTGTCTTTGGCTTAGGTGAATTAAAACTGTTCTAGAATTAACACCAAACTGATGTAAATGTGTGGTCATATACCACCTTAACTGCAGTAGTTATTCGTACTTGTTTTGCAGCGTTGCTTTCCATCCTGTCCAGTAAATCCTTTATGACACTGACAGTTAACATAGTCAGCACACGTGCCAGGAAAGCAGGGTGATTGGTGGGAGCATACAGCTGTAACAAAAGTAAAGTTTCTTCTCAACTTTCAGTTTCTAAATACGAGTACATTTGATAGCAATGACTACTACTAATAAAAATGTTTAGATCTCTTTTCCTTTTAAAACCACGATGAAATAAATACAACACGTACAAATGTATTTGACATTTAAGGCATATCCCCCCCAAAAATGATTAGAAATTTAAAAAAAAGAGGAAGTTTATGTTGCTAAATCACCAAAATATAATCTTGTTAATTTGAGCGCTTTGAAGACAATATATAATTTACAGATTTCATTCTTTTTTTTTAGTAGTATTTATACTTACGCGTCTCACAACTATGTCCTGTATGTGTACTTTGGCATACACACACATCCGGGGATACGCACGTACCGCCATTCTGGCATTGTGACTGACAAACAGCTGACAAAAAATATGTATGGAAAACTCTAAGCACTTTAAGGGTGAATTAAAAAATAATGACCACCAAATTGAAATCTTTTGAAAGAATTCAACTAACCATAACATATTTTGCACTTATATCATCATATTGTACATGCATTCTAGTAAAAATTCCTGAAGTGCAATATAATAGATAATTGGATAAAAACGATTCAGAATTTTTATTAGTAAAACTTTATTTGAAAACAGAAAATATCATTACATCCTAAAAGACTTTCTAAAATACATAATCAAGAGAAATTAAGGTTTTTATGCTCCAAAAGTGGTATCAGGGTTATATTGATTGATTGTATGTTGTTTTACGTACCATTCGAGAATTTTTCACTCATATAGAGACGTCACCATGTATCGAAGAAGGGCTTCAAATTTTGACCTTTACTCGGCACTCAAGGATATTGAGCTGTGAGGGATCTTTATCGTGCCAACGCCTGCCGTGACACGGGGCCTCGGTTTTTAAGGTCTCATCTGAAGGAGCCGCAACTTTCACTTCAAAGTGCCGAGCGCATGGCGAAGGAACAGTTGCTGCCCATTTTTTATCGACTTAGGTCAGTCGCGGCCGAGATTCGAACTCACGATCACGGAGCGAGCACTCTATCGACTGAGCTACCGTGAACGGTGTATCAGGGATATAAATGATTAGATCTAAATCTTGATTGAGTTTCTTCTCTTGTATACTTGGAAACAAATTAGCTTTTTGATTGTTATTTTACATAATTTTTTTTTCAATTATAGTTTGAAATGTTTTAATATGAAAGAATATTCTCCAAAAATCATTTTCGTCCTTTTAAGTCAATTCTTTAAATCTAAGCCAAAAGAAAATTTTGATATATAAGGTTTTTTTTTCTACAAAAAATACTAGATTTTGAAGTGACACTATTTTACATTATTGTTTGCACTCCTGACATCTGATATGTATTTTATTTAACATTGTTTTAAAAATCGTAACACACAATAACCCATTCTTAGTTTGTATATCAGTTCGTCGTTTTGATATTTTTTATCATTTACGGCAAGTTTTTCATATTTTCAAGACTTCAAAACATGATTATTTGCAATGTGTAATGTATATATACAATGTATTTAAAAATATGTGTTAAGTGATGAAAACTTTTCTCTAAATTGACATTAAAATGTCTGTACATGTAATAAGTTGACAGACATACTGTTTAGAGCATCAAATAGTATCAAACATTTTTTAAAAATGTTTTTTTTTACTAAAGATAGATGAAGATCATTGATAATTACAAAACAGTTGTGTTGCACTCCTGACTGCATCACACATTTTTAAAAAATGTTTTTTTAGTAAAGATAGATGAAGATCATTGATAATTATAAAACAGCTGTGTTGCACTCCTGACTGCAGTAAAATTAACAAGAGGCCCATCTACCACATCGCTCACCTGAGCACACTGGCTTAGAAGAAGCAGAAATCAGTTTAGTATTGAATGGGGGGAGGGGGTGGTGGCAATCTTTAATTTACACTACCTCAGGATGCTTCCATATCAATATTACTAATTATGGCTTTTTTTTTTTTTTTTTTTTTTCTTTTTTTTTTATAGAGTTTTAAAGATTTTTTTCTACGTTTTCCATTGTAAAACTCTGATCTCTCATTGTGGCCCCACCCTACCCACCCTAAATTTGAACAAATTTGAATCTGCACTACCTGAAGATGGTTCTATTATTATATGACTAATCTTGGCTTTGCTGTTCTTGAGTTGAAGATTTTTTTCAGATGATTCCTATAAATTCTTATGCAAAACTTTGACCCTCTGTTGTGCCCCCAACCCCCGGGGGTCATAATTTGAACAAACTTGATTCTACAATACCTAAGGTTGCTTCTGTATAAATACGACTAATAATGGCTTAGTCGTTCTTGAGAAGAAGATTTTAAAGATATTTCCTATGTAACATAATATGATCAGGTTCTTACAAGCTTAGGGATATATACTAGGTTTCCCTTTTACTCTGTCTGAGTTAATGATTGGAATGATTATTAAGACACCTCTGTCTGAGTGTATATCTCACAGTACTTAAATTTTCTCTTATCTAGAGACGGGGACTGGGTAAGGTACTACTTGCACCGTGTTTCTCCCCTAGGTTCCCATTGATAGATAAGAACCGGGTGTCTCAATCTTCTTCAGATTTACTACACCCAGAACTTAACATCAGTTCCTTAGAATACTTGCCACTGGGTTTATAACTTTATACTTTCATTTTGCTCTTACCCTTAATGCTTTCCATCACGTACATTATACTCTGATATTATATTAAAGCACTTTACAGAAGAAAAGGATTTACTAAGAGAAAGTTTCAAAAATGTAATTAACTAAGCAGTAATTAATTAGCAAAGATTGCATTGAAGTCTATGGGGACAAGCGATTTTTTTAAAAAAATAAAAATTCAAATAATAAGAATATCAATAAATACTGTGGTGGAAAGATGCATTAAAACATTAGAAATAGAATAACAATTGAAAACAATTTTTTTACCAGATAAGTTTTTAAAATTGATTTTTTCATGAATGAAAAACAGAGGGAGATTACTCTTACCAAAATTCAAGGTCATAAATTAGGACACATCCCACCCTCACATGCTAATAGTAATAAATGGGAATTATGTCTCAATATACTGAGTATACAACCCATACATATCTGTTATGTATTCAATATCACTGAATCTGTTCCTATTAGGGATGGAATGCCTTAACTTCTTTATTGCTGATTCAACATCCAACTTCTACTAGCTTCTGAATGCGTGACTTTCCCAAAGCTTTGCCTTATATACCCTTTGGTTTGGCTAGTCCATTCCAAGGGTTGTCAGGTCATTCCACTATTTGAAGTCTTCAATGCGTTTTACTCAAATGCCCCTTCACCGTTACACCTATATTTTCCTGTGTAAAACTTTGACCCACTGTTTTGGCCCCGCCTTACCCCTGGGGGTCATGATTTGAACAAACTTGAATTTACACTATCTGAGGATACATCTGTATCAATATAACTAATAATTGCTTAGTTGTTCTTGAGAAAAATATTTTTAAAGATATTTCCTATATATTCCTATGTAAAATTTTGACCCCCTGTTGTGGCTCTGCCCTACTCCAGAGGGTCATGATTGGAACAAACTTGAATCTACACTACCTGAGGATACTTCTGTTATAATATGACTAATCATGGCTTTGCTGTTCTACAGAAGAAGATTTTTAAAGACATTTCCCTCGACATTTCCTGTATATTCCTATGTAAAACATTGACCTCCTCTTGTGGCCCCGCCCTACCCCATACAGTTATGATATAAACAAACTTGAATTTACAATATGTAATGAAGGTTTCACGTAAATTTTATCTTTTCTTGCACAGGGGTTCTTGAGAAGGAAATTTTTAAAAGATGCCATCAAATTTTCACGATTTCTTAATTATCTACCCTTGAAAGAGGGCGCAGCACTTCCTGTGAACAACTTACATCTCCTTCAGCCAAGGATGCTTTGTGGCAAGTTTGGTTGAAATTGATTCTTGAGAAGAAGTCGAAAATGTGAAAAGTTTACAGACGACGGACGACAGACGGACGTCGGACACTTTTTGACCAGAAAAGCTCATTTGAGCTAAAAATTGATACCACAGATTACAAAAATTCATAAAGTGTTTGCAACATCAAGCGTTAACGAAATTGTGAAATATTCATAGTCCAATACTTTATAATTAAAACACATGAAAGTATTTTAACTTGGCTTTATATCTTGAAATATTCCCCATTTATGTCAAAAACAAGCTAAAATAATGTTTAGAAGATAAAATATATTTTATAGAATATTTTCCTTCACAGGACAAACACTGTAAGCAACTGAGATCAACCAGAAACATTCTACTCATCATTTTTTTTCTTTTTTATTTATTCATATTTAATCAGCAATAATTCTAAAATATTTATTCTTTGTGTCTTTATTTTCCAAAATAAAAATCAGAGAATCACATACTAATAAAAGTTTTTTCATGCTGGGGAGCAAAACATCAAATGTTGCACTCCTGACATTATTGGGTATGCACCAATACTTGACTCTCGTTAATGCAGCTTGTGATTTTTATAACATTTTTAAGTTTTAAATTGTATATCTATAGACGCCCATTTAGGACCTATCAAAAAATATTTTTGATTTCGATATAATGAATTTTTGAATTTGTTAAAACAAATCTAATTTGTTATATCATTTTTTTTTAAATTCGTAATAAGGAATTAAATCTGTTATAACAGATTTGTTGAATTCGTTATAACGAATTCAAAAATTTTCTATAACAGATTAAATTCGTTTAAACGAATTCTAAAAGTTGTTATCACGAATTAAATTCGTTTAAACAGATTCGACAATTAGGGTTTATAGAAAAATATATATGAATTCGATAAAACTAATTGTAAAATTCGTTTAAACGAATTTAATTCGTTATTAGAAATTTTGGAATTCGTTAAAACGAGCTTAATTCGTTATAACATTTTTTTTTAAATTCGTGATAACGAATTCAACTCATTTGTTATAACAGATTTAATCGTTTTAACGAATTCAAAAAAAAAATGTTTAAACGAATTAAATTTGTTATAACAAATTCGACAATTCTTTATATCGAATTCAAAAATAGTTTTTGATAGGTCTTAAATGGACTTCCGTATATATCACTTATTGTTTTACAGTTTGAAAAATCTTTTGGACTTGTTTTTAAGATTTTTTAAAAATCGATGTTTTTTATGGCACCACTACATTTTTCTGTTGCAGTTCTACGGAAGCCTACGGAAGCCCATTTAGGACCTATCAAAAAATATTTTTGAATTCGATATAACGAATTGTCGAATTTGTTATAACGAATTTAATTCGTTATAACAGTTTCTTTGAATTCGTTATAACAAATTTATTCAACTCGTTATAACGAATTCAAAAATTTGTTATAACGAATTAAATTCGTTATAACGAATTCTGAAATTTGATATAACGAATTAAATACGTTAAAACGAATTCTCTAATTTGTTATAACGACTTAAATTCGTTAAAATGAATTCGACAAATCGTTATATCGAATTCATACATATTTCTTCTATAGGCCCCGATTGCTGAATTTGATTCATTATAACAAATTTTAGAATTTGTTTAAACGAATTTAATTCGTTATAACAAATTTTTGAATTCGTTATAACTAATACAAAGAATTTGTTATAACAGATTAAATTTGTTATTAACGAATTCAAAGAAATTGTTATAACGAATTAAATTTGTTATAACAAATTCTACAATTCGTTATATCGAATTTGAAAATATTTTTTGATAGGACCTAAATGGGCTTCCGTAGAAGCGTTGAATTCGTCATAACGAATTTTATCTGTTATAACAAATTTGTTAAATTCATTATAACGAATTCAAAGATTTGTTATAACGAATTTAATTCGTTATAACGAATTCTTAAACTTGTAATAACGAATTAAATTCGTAGAAACGAATTCTTTATATTTATTATAACGAATTAGATTCGTTTAAACGAGTTCGACAAATCATTATATCGGATTCATATAAATTTTCTACAGGCCCTTTTTGTTGAATTTGAATAAACGAATTTAATTCGTTTGAACAAATTTTAGAATTTGTTTAAATGAATTTAATTTGTTATTACGAATTTTAGAATTCGTTTTAACGAATTTAATTCGTTATAAAAAAAATTTTGAATACGTTATAACGAATTCAACAAATTTGTTATAATAGATTGAATTCGTTAAAACGAATTCAAAGAAATAGCTATAACGAATTAAATTCGTTATAACAATTTTGACTATTCGTTATATCGAATTCAAAAATATTTTTGTATAGGTCCTAAATGGGCTTCCGTACAATTCTGACATGATATAACATTTTATTCAAAATCAGCCATGACCACAACTAGGTCAAACAAAAGTTGCTAAAGTTTACATTAAAGCTCAATACTTTGAATATTATCAGGAAAGTCTTTATTTCCACCCGCAACCATTATTATTTATTTCACAGATCTTCAAAAAATATTGAATTTTCAAAATGTCACAAAAAGGTGTTGCACTCCTGACATTTTTAGCATCATTTTTGGTATTTTTTTTAAGGGGGGGGGGGGCAACTTTATTGTGAATTATGATATCAATGAGATATTTGGCAGGTATTTAGAGACTATTTAAAGACATATGCTGAGACATAGAAATTTATTCTCATTGCCTGTAATTTTAGTGCAGTTTGATATTTGAAGAAACTTAATATAGAAACACTGTTTTATGTATGCACATATGCTCTTGTTTGAACCAGTCAGAGAACATATGATCTAGTTTGAACCAGTCAGAGAACTAAGAGTTTGTTTGTCTGTTTGTTATTTAACGTCCCTCTCGAGAATTTTCCACTTAAATGGAGACGCCACCACTTGCTGGTGGAGGGCTGCAAATTTAGACCTATTTAGACCTATACTCGCCACTCAGGCCTTTGAGCAGTGGGGGGTCTTTTTTGTGCCAGCACCTACTGCGACACGGGACCTCGGTTTATACGGTCTTATCCGCATTCCGCAGTGGATTCGAACCCGCGATATAAGGATCAACCCCTTACTGTGCGACTCTAGAGCAAACGCTCTAACCACTGCGCCACGCGGGGGAATAGTAGAGAAAAATATTTATGAAAAGTTGCCAAAAAATAATACGCTCCTTCCAAATTGCATCTGAAACAGGCTATATATTCTTTAATGAGATGATTTTATGAGTCATCCTTCCTCACTGAAGAATGACATTTTTAGTCCGCTAATCACTATCTCCCTCATCTTATTTGACATTATTGCTAGTGTCTATAATTATTGTGATGCAACAAACGGGTAAGATAAACTCCTAAATCAAAAATGTGACGTAATTTTCATGAACTAAATACATACGTGTTTGACATGTACTCCCTGTGTAGGTACTGGGGCACTGGCATCTCCTTGAATTTGAACAAGTTCCCCCATTTAAGCATGGGGGGTCACAAACGGCTACAAGTTAATAATAAAATTTTTAATAGAGGATTATTAAGCAAACATTTTTGTAACACACTGGAAAATACACTAGGTTCTACTACTGAGTATATCATCACTGCTCCTTTAATTTCACAAATGCTCCAATTTTGCTTATGTTTTAATGCAATACCAACTAATCTATACGTGTACCACTATATGACACTATTGTTTAAACGTTTCAAATTGAAATTACAGTTCTACTGGATAATAATAGTCGACTAATATTTCTACATCTAGTTCATCCTCACAATGTCAAGGTTTTGTGATTTCGGAACTCCACACAAACCCTTGACATAAGTCGCTATTGAAAAGTATGGCTAGAAAGCTACTACTTCATTTGTTCCTGGTCTAGGACTGGAACCAATCAGAAAATAGCTTTTATTGAAGGTAAATTTTGTAAACACAAATGACTCGTCTTTAAAATGGAAAGTGTCGATATTGTAGGATTTGTGACTAGTTACGTTAAAGGTGCTTAGACACAGATTTGAAGTTTATATTTTCTCAAATTTTCTGTATAATATCACAACTTATATGTTGCTATAGCATTTCGCACGAAAATTAAATTAAAAACTTATTTCATCTGGAAATTATTGAAACTACGAATTTCGGGAGGCGTTTGATTAACACATCCTTGCATTTTCACAATTTTTAACTTTATCCTTAATACTTAAGAAAAGTAGCAATTTTGTTGTGTATTAATGAATAATATTACATCCATAATCCAGAAAATTCAGAATAAAAATGTTAGAAAGCAAAACCCACTAACTTAAGTATTGTCAGCCCGTGCTCAGTGTTGTGTAGTTGTGTACAGAGTTTAACAAATTGAATACACCCGTGAAACGTAAACTGTTTTTTGTAAACAGGACACGGGCTCTGTTGTTATTTACTTAATGTTTACATTTCACCGGGTGTGTTCAATTGTTAAACTCTGCACACACCACAGAGCACGGACTGACAATACTGGTGAGAGGATTTTGCTTACATTTCTACTCTGAAATTTCTGCATTATAGGTAAAATATTTTTCATTAATAAACAACAAAACTGCTACTTTTCTAAAGTAATAAGGATAAATTTTAAATTTGTGAAAGTGCAAGGATGTGTCTATCAAACGCGTCCAGAAATTCGAAGTTTCAATAACTTCCAGATAAAATAAGATTTTTATCAAATTTTCGTAGGAAATGCTATAGCAACATATAAGTCATGAGATCATACAGAAAATTTGAGTAAATATTAACTTCAAATCTGTGTCTAAGCACCTTTAAATGAAACATCGGGGATTAATTTTTGGAAGATCGTCATCCTAACAGTAACAGAAGATATGCTCCGAAGTTGGGCCATTTGAAAACGACGGATTTGATAAATTCATTCTCATTGGTTAGTTTATAATTACCCATTACGTCATGTGTAACCACAAACCCAACTTTTGAATAACGACTTATGTCAAGGGTTTGTGTGCAGTTCCGAAATCACAAAACCTTGACATTGTGGGAATGCATCTAGTTAGGGAATCTATTCAGTGATACAACTTTCTTCCAAATAAAAACTATTCCACATCAAGTATAATTTACTTACGGATATTGCAGTTGGGACCTGTGTATCGACGTGATGGACAGCGACAAGTATTGGGACTCTCGCAGACACCTCCATTCAGACAAGCTGGATTACATACGGCTGTAATAATAATCATTCATTAATAATACTGATTCATAGATTACGGTCACCGGATAAAAAAGTCGTATTTTTTCTATACATATAAAATATAAAAACACTCTATCTCAATCAACTTTCAACGTTTTGAAGTTGAGGTTTCAACCTTGAATTATCAAGGTCATGCTTTCATTGAATCAACACCGATAAAACAACGTCGAATAATCATTAAAATTCAATTTTAGTATAGTCCTCAGAGTTGGAATTTCAGCATACATGTACTTTCAAGGTCGAGTCAATGTCGCTTGATTTTCTTTTTGTTTGTTTGCTTTTTTTGAAAATTCATATCTACATGTATTTACAAATAAGTTGATGATACAAAGATATCAACAGTCTCGTTTAAAGTCAACATTTCGCAAATTTTATGGTCGATATAATGACCTTGTGGTCAAATACAATCTATCGTTAAGCTAAATGTTGATTGATCCTTACTACAAAGGTACAAGTTTATTAATTTGGACTAATTGGTTTGACATCTTAATCCTATATACTGCACTTCTGAACTATTAATACATGTATTGTCAACTAATTATCTAAAATACTGAGGTAAATGAATTGGTAGAAAGGTGCTGTCCATTTTTAAAATCTATATTTGATCAGTCTGCTTGAGCTGCCTTGACAAGAGAATTTGTAATTAAAATCCGATATTTGAATCAGCCTTGCTTCAACTTTCTTGTATAATAACTGCAATCATTTTAAAACGAGCTTAATTCGTTATAACATTTTTTTTAAATTCGTGATAACGAATTCAACTCATTTGTTATAACAGATTTAATCGTTTTAACGAATTCAAAAAAAAAAATGTTTAAACGAATTAAATTTGTTATAACAAATTCGACAATTCTTTATATCGAATTCAAAAATAGTTTTTGATAGGTCTTAAATGGACTTCCGTATATATCACTTATTGTTTTACAGTTTGAAAAATCTTTTTTGGACTTGTCTTTCAGATTTTTTAAAAATCGATGTTTTTTATGGCACCACTACATTTTTCTGTTGCAATTCTACGGAAGACTATGGAAGCCCATTTAGGACCTATCAAATAAAATTTTGAATTCGATATAACGAATTGTCGAATTTGTTATAACGAATTGAATTCGTTATAACACTTTCTTTGAATTCGTTATAACGAATTTAATTTGTTATAACAAATTTATTGAACTCGTTATAACGAATTAAATTCATTATAACAAATTAAATTCGTTATAACGAATTCTGAAACTTGTTATAACGAATTAAATTCGTTAAAACGAATTCTCTAATTTGTTATAACGAATTAAATTCGTTAAAATGAATTCGACAAATCGTTATATCGAATTCATACATATTTTTTATAGGCCCCGATTGTTGAATTTGATCTAACGAATTTAATTCGTTACAACAAATTTTTGAATTTGTTATAACGATTAAATTTGTTATAACAAATTTTAAAATTCGTTTAAACGAATTTAATTCGTTATAAGAAATTTTTGAATTCGTTATAACTAATTCAACAAATTTGTTATAACAGATAAAAATCGTTATGACGAATTCAAAGAAATTGTTATAACGAATTAAATTTATTATTACAATTTCGACAATTCGTTATATCGAATTTGAAAATATTTTTTGATAGGTCCTAAATGGGCTTCCCTGGAATTCTCTGACATCTAACACGGGCTATATATTCTTTAACGAGATGATTTTATGAGTCATCCTTCCTCACTGAAGAATGTCATTTTTAGTCCGCTTCTTGAAATGCAAATTAAAACAAAATCACTATCTCCCTCATCTTATTTGACATTATTGCTAGTGTCTATAATTATTGTGATGCAACAAACGGGTAAGATAAACTCCTAAATCAAAAATGTGACGTAATTTTCATGAACTAAATACATACGTGTTTGACATGTACTCCCTGTGTAGGTACTGGGGCACTGGCATCTCCTTAAATTTGAACAAGTCCCCCCATTTAAGCATGGGGGGTCACAAACGGCTACAAGTTAATAAAATTTTTAATAGAGGATTATTAAGAAAATATTTTTGTAATACATTGGAAAATACACTAGGTTCTACTACTGAGTATATCATCACTGCTCCTTTAATTTCACAAATGCTCCAATTTTGCTTATGTTTTTATGCAATACCAACTAATCTATACATGTACCACTGTATGACATTATTGTTTAAACGTTTCAAATTGAAATTACAGTTCTACTGGATAATAATAGTCGACTAATATTTCTACATCTAGTTCATCCTCACAATGTCAAGGTTTTGTGATTTCGGAACTCCACACAAACCCTTGACATAAGTCGCTATTGAAAAGTTGGGCTAGAAAGCTACAATTTCATTTGTTCCTGGTCTAGGACTGGAACCTATCAGAAAATAACTTTTATTGAAGGTAAATTTTGTAAACACAAATGACTCGTCTTTAAAATGGAAAGTGTCGACAGTGTAGGATTTGTGACTGGTTACGTTAAAGGTTCTTAGACACAGATTTGAAGTTTATATTTTCTCAAATTTTCTGTATAATATCACAACTTATATGTTGCTATAGCATTTCGCACGAAAATTAAATTAAAAACTTATTTAATCTGGAAATTATTGAAACTACGAATTTCGGGAGGCGTTTGATTAACACATCCTTGCACTTTCACAATTTTTAACATTATCCTTAATACTTAAGAAAAGTAGCAATTTTGTTGTGTATCAATGAATAATATTACATCCATAATCCAGAAAATTCAGAATAAAAATGTCCGAAAGCAAAACCCACTCACTTAAGTATTGTCAGCCCGTGCTCAGTGTTGTGTAGTTGTGTACAAAGTTTAACAAATTGAATACACCCGTGAAACGTAAACTGTTTTTGTAAACAGGACGCGGGCTCTGTTGTTATTTACTTAATGTTTACGTTTCACCGGGTGTGTTCAATTGTTAAACTCTGCACACACCACTGAGCACGGACTGACAATACTGGTGAGAGGATTTTGCTTTCTACATTTCTACTCTGAAATTTCTGCATTACAGTTTTAATATTTTTCATTAATAAACAACAAAACTGCTACTTTTCTAAAATAATAAGGATGAATTTAAAATTTGTGAAAGTGCAAGGATGTGTCTATCAAACGCGTCCAGAAATTCGAAGTTTCAATAACTTCCAGATAAAATAAGATTTTTATCATATTTTCGTATAGCAACATATAAGTCATGAAATCATACAGAAAATTTGAGTAAATATTAACTTCAAATCTGTGTCTAAGCACCTTTGAATGAAACATCGGGGATTAATTTTTGGAAGATCGTCATCCTAACAGTAACAGAAGATATGCTGCGAAGTTGGGCCATTTGAAAACGACGGATTTGATAAATTCATTCTCATTGGTTAGTTTATAATTACCCATTACGTCATGTGTAACCACAAACCCAACTTTTGAATAACGACTTGTGTCAAGGGTTTGTGTGCAGTTCCGAAATCACAAAACCTTGACACTGTGAGGATGCATCTAGTTAGGGAATCTATTCAGTGATACAACTTTCTTCCAAATAAAAACTATTCCACATCAAGTATAATTTACTTACGGATATTGCAGTTGGGACCCGTGTATCGACGTGATGGACAGCGACAAGTATTGGGACTCTCGCAGACACCTCCATTCAGACAAGCTGGATTACATACGGCTGTAATAATAATCATTCATTAACAATACTGATTCATAGATTACTGTCACCGGATAAAAAAGTCGTATTTTTTATATACATATAAAATATAAAAACACTCTATCTCAATCAACTTTCAACGTTTTGAAGTTGAGGTTTCAACCTTGAATTATCAAGGTCATGCTTTCATTGAATCAACACCGATAAAACAACGTCGAATAATCATTAAAATTCAATTTTAGTATAGTCCTCAGAGTTGGAATTTCAGCATACGTGTACTTTCAAGGTCGAGTCAATGTCGCTTGATTTTCTTTTTGTTTGCTTGCTTTTTTTGAAAATTCATATCTACATGTATTTACAAATAAGTTGATGATACAAAGATATCAACAGTCTCGTTTAAAGTCAACATTTCGCAAATTCTATGGTCGATACAATGACCTTGCATTGTTGGCAAATACAATCTATCGTTAAGTTGAATGTTGATTGATCCTTACTACAAAGGTACAAGTTTATTAATTTGGACTAATTGGTTTGACATCTCAATCTTATATACTGCACTTCTGAACTATTAATACATGTATTGTCAACTAATTATCTAAAATACTGAGATAAATGAATTGGTAGAAAGGTGCTGTCCATTTTTAAAATCTATATTTGATCAGTCTGCTTGAGCTGCCTTGACAAGAGAATTTGTAATTAAAATCCGATATTTGAATCAGCCTTGCTTCAACTTTCTTGTATAATAACTGCAATCATTTTATAAACTTCATTCAACGTTGCATGACCTTCAAATATGAAATGTCTGTGAAAACGACTAAACATTTTTGCTTACAAAGTATTTATCATATATGCTGTTCTAAATAGCGAATGACAATTTATCGGGATAATCAAGATGAACAGGAGGCTTACGGTTTTCACAGCGTTGTCCAGTGTAGCCCCCGTAGCATGTACAGACACCAGGTCGAGTACAGGATCCGTGTTGACACTTAGGACTACATACAGCTAAAACAAAGGTTAATTACTTAGATATTAATAAATATACTCTAGTTGATTGAGATTATCTTTCAAACATAAGTTGATTTTGTTTTTTATTTCTGATTGGATCTTACGTGTTTGGCAGGCATTCCCCGTATAACCCCCTTGACAGCTGCACGTGTCGGGACGAATACACGTACCTCGTCCTCGACAATTTCCGTTACAGATAGCTAGAAGTACACCATTATAATTATTAATTATTAATTATAAATTCAAATTTTATCCCCCACACCCCCAAAATTGATGTGTCTGACCTTTCATGAAGTTTGAATATATGATTAATTGTTTAATATCCAAATACTATCAGAAAAGGTAATATTTTTATGCGGTGATGCGTTAAGCCCCAGTCACTCTGTCACGGTAGTAGGCAACGGTTCACCACGATTTTAAAGACCGTATGCAATCGTGATGCTGGTAGGGGGTTTTTTTTGGCGCGAAAAATAATATACACGGTTCTTTCAAGATTACAAAACAGTTTATGAAGGTTTCAAGACGGTTTCATTAAGGAACACGGTTGTCTCAACACGTACATGTACACCGTCACAGATAAACAGGGAGTCCCGTGTTGAAATCGTATAATGCAACGTTCATACCAAGGACGACCAAGGCATTGATACAGTCTACCTACAACTTTTCACGGCGTACTTAAGAACATGCGAAGAATGACGAAAACTTTCCTAAGATCACGCACCTATTGCAATGAAATCGGGAAATCACGTGATCGTAAGGAAAGGAAACGGGTCAAGCACCCTTGTGAAAGTAATATACTTCCACAAGGGTGGTTGGGGACGCCTCCCCTTTCCTAAGGGCTCTTTTCGTTTTTTAAAAAAATTCTATAACATATTTACAAAGTATAAAAATTAATATATTTAAAATAAAACATAAATCTAACCTTTTTATCAAAACAATCACTCTTTCAGTATCAGTGAGAGATTTTTCGTAAGAGGTTATTAGATTTAGATTATATATATGTTGGATTTTTCAATTGTATACTTTGTGAATGTGTCATAGAAAAATATATGTTCATATTAAAAGAATTCAAAGATCCCTCGGGGTACAGAGTGCGTAAGAAGAGGGGGGGGGGGGTCCTGTTCACAAGGACCAATAAAATTTAACACACTTCGAAAATTTATAAAAAAAAAAAAAAAAAACAACAAAAAAAACCCCAAAACTTTATCCTCTCTTATTTCATGGGTGTATGCGATTGTTTGTACTCGAGTAATCGATTAATAAAATATACAACGACAAATTGAACAGGAACAGGGAGTGCAATATACATTATTCATACCCAAGGCAAAAAGTATGCTGCATATGACGCTTTGAGTTTTAAAAACAAAATAAGAAGCGCTACATGCTTGTGGTTAAATGACGTCACAGCAAATGTGATTCATTTGTCGAAGAAAAACAATGAATTAAAATGGAACGATATATGCCGAACACACACACACATACAAATGACATCAAAATTGCTTCAATTCTACTCTGTCCTATATTGAAAGCAGAATGTACTTTGTCTATAAGTAAGACACGTAATTTGTACACAAGCGAGGTATATTTTTATTTTAAACAGACGTACAATCAGTGGTTCATGTATGTATATTAAACATAATATTTATGTTATATACAGGTAATTGATTTGCAACTACCTCACGAATTTTAAAATAATTGCTTAAATAAATTCCCTGGTTAGAAGTTTAGTAAATTTACACAGTATATGTATTGAAGATTCAGATATTTATTAACTCTTTTGATTGACAAATGGATGTGTTCACAAACTATATATAGAATTTCATTCAAATTAAAATACTAGCGTTCACTTATTTTTAAAAATCCTATAGTATTGTTTTCAATTGCCTCTTTGAAATCAGAATTGTTAAAAACCTGAGCATCACCCGATAAACCATAAGCTCATACGTCCACCCAAACAAACTTTTAGTTCGCATCCACAAGTGCTAGTAAGATTACTGAATAGCAGCCTTTATATTTGTAGTAGAGAGAACCACCTTTTTCGACACTTAATAACTATGCGTTTGCTATCAAGTGCACCAATACAAATCCATCTGCGATGGTCTTCCATTCATCGGGGGTTACTGGGCAAGGAATTACTTCTTCGGCGTACACCTCGATGATGGCTTCAAAAACCTAACGAATAAAAAGGGAGATTGTGTTGTGAGAAACTCTGAAAGCATACATGAATGAGTGGTAGCTATGTCCTGAGGCAAGGCATCGCAAGGTTATAGCCAGCTTTAACCCAGGAGGAATAGCCCTTCCTATACCAAGTTTCATTCTTTCTAATTCGATCCTTTATTCTGAAAAGGGTCTCCTGGAACATTGCAGGCTCCATTCTTAAAAAGTTCTTACAGGCTCTAATATCTTCAATGCTGAGTTCACCCATATGTCTTGTGTTGTGCCCTACGAGATCTCGCCCCTGCAACCATGGTCTGACCCAAACTTTTCTCCTGTCCTCTGGTTTAGAAAAACATGTGCCAAGACGGTGTTGCTTTGTGCTTGCTGCCTGTTCAACTGCAGTTGTAGATTCAGAAATCGAAATCTGTACTGATGGTTAAGTATCAAATCCATGAAGAACTGCTCTGAGACAGGATTTTGTAATTCTGCAAGATTTGGTGAAACACGTGAATTATTCAGTTCCAAAAAAATGTAAAATATCGTACCCCACCCGTGTGTTACCGTAAAAACATAGTTGCTATCCGTAAAAAAAAACAACGTTGTGCAGCCTGTGGAAATATTGGTACATCGTCATTATTCGTATTACTTCCTTGACGTTATCCTTCTTCAACCGAGTCACAACGGACTTGGGTTACGGTTTGTAACGGGATCGTCATTTACAACCGTACATTTACCCTACTACAGCCGTCGTTCTCCTCAAGCAAGCGAAGAGCTATTTGTTAGGAATGTCCCCCAATCTCCACAAAAGTTTATACGGTGGTTACACGGTAATATTAGGATTTAGGATTACAGTACGAGCCGATTACGATGTGTCAGAAACAAAGTAGCATCCCGTTATTCTACGACTGTTTTGAACATTTTAAAACTGTCGTAGCGATTTACGGATCATTCAGGATTGTTTCGATTTATTAAGGTTTATTACAATAAAAACAACGGACTGACTGCGGACATCCAAGAATATTCACAGATCTCCAAACCGTTGCTTAACGTGATCTAAAATCGTGACAGTGTGACTTGGTGTTTAGCAATTTTGTCTAGTGTAAAATAAAAAATCTACGCATACATGTATTGTCATAAACAAGCATTAAGCACTATAAAAGTATAAAATAGCGTTAAGTACTTAATATTTTAATGAGATAAAAACTTATAAAATTGAAAGAATTACTGGTTAAAAAAACAAATAAAACAAAACCAAAACCAAAAAAAAATTCTTTATTTACAGGCCCGTAGGAAGCAATTTCAGTTGGGGGAGGGGGGGGGGCACAGCCAAACATTATCAGTTCGGAGGGGCACTATCAACTACCAAAATTCCTTGACAAGCAAAATAAAAAAAAGGTCATCACAGCCGTCTTTATTGAGGGGGCACAAGCATATTGTAGCTAAGTTTTCTATAGTATTCTATATACATGTATTGGCAAAATTATTGGGGGGGGGGGGACGGCCCCCCATGCCCCCCGGTTCCTACGGCAATGATTTATACGTTTTACTTAATATGTTGCCTAGACTTCAAAATATCTTCTAATTACAGAGCTCAGAAGTTTTATTTAAAAAGTAGTGTCTTTTTTAAAGTTGACATTTTTCTGATTTTATACTATCAAGAAGTTTTTGCAGCTAGGCTGGTGTATATCGGGAGTTTGGATGCGAACAAGAGATCTATTGTTTTGGACAAGTGACAAGACAAACTCTTGTCAAATTGTTGTATCTAAACATCGCGTAAGTAGTGAATTTCTACTTAATCTTAAGAACCATGGAAGTATTCAAAGTGGTCTGTTGTCTACGTGAAGTCTAATTGTAAATTCATGTACTTCACATTGTTTTATCGTGAAGTCACGTGATTGTATTGGCTCACGCCATGGAAGTTATAGGACACCGGGAAAACAATATTTGGCGCAAATTCAAGTCCATCATGTTTTACTTTTTAAGTTTTTTAAGATTCTATCCTGAATATATGTACATTTGTAATCACTTTTTTTGAATCAATAAATTTTATTTATGATAATAAAACTGCCTCGCTTTTTTGCTTACTGTATGTATATGTATTCTTTTAGCGTGAACCTATATGAAAGTCCATTGCTTGACCTAAGACAACTAGAAGCAACAATTAAGTTATTAGATTTCGTTCTTTTACAGTTCTGTAGAAATTACTACACATCAGTTACTTGTTTGGTAAGGCTTACATCATCAATATGCCATATAACATCGTAGAACCTTAGAAAAAATATCTCTCAAGAGACAACATTGAAGCTTATTTACAAAATGTCCTTATGATCAAAGGATTTAGAAGAAAACAAGCATTCTGAGAGTATTGCATTAGCAATACTAGTCCTCTACCGGCAAGTGTAATCTGGTTCCCGTTAAGAATTGAACATGCCATAATTCCGTCAAAAATCAATGAAGCGGAACGAAATGCAAACTTGATCTATAACTCATCAAGGTAAAGACACATACCAAAAATCAGCTCAATATCTGCAAGCGTTTAGAAAAAATTTGCGGAAAACCTGAAAAATTGAAATGGTCGTAATTCCGTCGAAAATCATTGAAGCGGAACGAAATGCAAACTTGATCTGTAACTCATCAAGATACACTCACATACCAAAAATCAGAAATTTGTCCCAGCGTACTTAAAGAAGATTTAAGACATATACCCGGTAAGGTAATCTAAGAAATCCGCTTACTTTTCTACCAGCGGATTGAACAGATTTAAATTGATTCCGAGGAATTTTGACCCCGTGGAAAATAGTGCATTTACAGTATTTTAACAAACAAACAAAAAATCCTTGGGGAAAAAGATCTTTATAGCTGCAATCTGAATAGAGAAAAAAGAATCTCTGCTAAAAGTTACAAGTTAAGCTGAACATCTAAATAAAATGAGGTTTCCTATCTATAATTACTATACTTACGTTGACAGTTACTCCCTCCGTATCCAGGGCAACAAGTCTCTGTGTAGGTTACCCTGTATCGCGTCACCTGGGCATAGTAGGTACTGCATGAAACATGTCTTTATGAACAAAGGGTTTTAAAAAATACGGATAAAACTCTGTGTTATGCAGAATTTTCTTCTGTTTTCAAATACTGGTTTAGTCGCAATCGCAAGAAGAAAATTTACTTGTATTTTTGAAAATTCTATTTACATTTGCAAATGTTATGCATTATGTAACACTACTTAAGCCTGTGTAAAAACAGGTTCGCCATATGAACAAATTCATTGTTAAGTCGGATGACAAACGTGACCAAACAGTGGAAATTGACAGGCATCAGTGGAGAGTGACAGGAGTCAGTGGAGTGTGAAAGACATCAGTGGAGAGTGACAGGCATCAGTGGAGAGTGACAGGAGTCAGTGGAGTGTGACAGGCATCAGTGGAGAGTGACAGGAGGCAGTGGAGAGTGACAGGCATCAGTGGAGAGTAGCAGAAAGTGAGAGAAATTAGTGAGAATGACAGGCATTAGCGGAGTGTGACAGGACGCAGTGGAGAGTGACAGGCATCAGTGGAGATCGACAGGAATCAGTGAAGTGTGACAGGAATCAGTGGAATTTGATAGAAGTCAGTAACATATCCCAATTAATGTTTAACAATGATATCTTTCTTCTTAAATAACTTAAAAACATTACTCTGAAAGGTTTTTGCAATGCCTGAGATACAGTATTCCAATTTTTTTTAATAATGTAGGAGAAGGTGAGTTCTAACTCGGTTTTTCGGCAATCTTTTAAAATCTTGTAATGATTTAGTATTTTTTTCCCTTAAGAGAATTTTTTTGAAACAATTATCATGTGCTGGCCTTTTTTGTAAGTGTTCATACTCTGTACTTATAGAAGTATACAATAATATGTATCATGAGGGCCCTTTTAAATCGAATAATGAGTGCTTTGGAGGGTTTTGGAACGGCATTCTAGTATGAATTTTCATCGTTAAATTAAGACTTCTGTATAACTACAAACTAAATAAATATATAACAGAACAGTTTTTTTTTTAAATAGGAGGTTTGTTCTGTATCTTGTTCAAAAAAGAAATAATTGGTGTTGTACTTTCGAGTGTGTTATGTTCTTTATAACATACCACGTATACTTGTTTCAAAGTTATTTTTTCAGACATACATGTAACTTGATCCACCAAAGAAAAACAAGGATCCCTTCAGTTGACCTTTTCGTATTTTACACTTACCTGTAAGTAGTATTTTACTAGGAATATGTTCAAATATTGATTTAAATTTATACGAGGTATATATATGTCGTATAAGACATCAATCTAATCTCACTTACCACCATATAAACCATTGTGTGCACTCCTTAACCTGATATGGTATAACTCTCCTAGTGGTGGTTTTACAAGGGCTGGTCCAAATAATACTAAAAAATAGAAAGCTTGCAGTTAGAGTTATACTTTCAATAGAAGAGAGTTGGATCTAATATACAATGTGTATTGGGTTGATTTGCTGGGCTTTTCCAATGCTAACAACATTCGAGTTTAACATATCCAACTTATCAAAGTGTGTATTGTGGAGTGTATATTTGTGTATTGTGTATCTAACACAATGAAAAAAATGAAAAGCGTAACAATAAAACACAAGTAATGTCATTAAAGATCAGAAATGGGATTTTTTTTTTTGAAGAAATGCCAAAGCTTCGGAAAATAATTCTTCCATTTCATGTAGAAGCAAGCATGCAAATGTCATATATCTTCTAATATTTACATTTCTAAATATGTTTCCTTAAGATTCTTTGCAAATTAGAGTATTGTTCATTTTCTCATGAACTACAATGGATGAGCATGAATATCTCCATTGTTACTTCATAATACCGTACTTGACGTCAAAACTATAGTGCAAACTGTTTTGCGTTAAAAATGACAGTTGAATTGTGGCACTTAATCAGAAAAATAATGTAAATATAAGAAATGAATTTAATTTTTGAAAATTCATGAGGCACATGAACTACAACGCTTCACGCCGGCATATTTATCATGAAGCGCTAACGCGCTTCATGAAATATGCCGGCGTGAAGCGTCGTAGTTCATGTCCTCATGAATCTTCAAAAATTAAATTCATTTCTTAATTATTGAACTATTTACGAAAAACATAACAAATTCAGACCCCCCTCTCTCTAATATATTGTCTCAATAACTGTAAATTAACAATATGTTTCTTCCTTTGTTATAATATATATTGGCAAAAAAGTACTTTGTTAATTTGCTAAATTTCGTGAAAAGTCTACAAAAAGTTAATGAAATGGACACCCTGGAGAAGGAAACACAAGAGAAAAGGAAATATAAGAGACCAGTTGGCACATGCATGAAAGGAAACCATCAAATCAGAAATAAAGCAGACGGAATAGACAGGAACATCATCAGCAGAAAGATGCAGAAATCAATGTAGAGTGCCAGGAAACACTGGAGAGTGCCAGGAATCAGTGGAGAGTGACGACAGTGACAGGAGTCAGTGGAGAGTGACAGGAATCAGTGGAGAGTGACAGGAGTCAATGGAGAGTGACAGGAGTCAGTGGAGAGTGACAGGAGTTAGTAAAGAGTGACAGGAAATAGTGCAAAGTGACAGAGTAAGTGCAAAGTGACAGAGTAAATGGAGAGTGACAGGAATCAGTGGAAAGTGACAGGAGTCAGTGGAGAGTGACAGGAGTCCATTTTGTACAGAACATGTTTAGGTGTTAGCATAAAAGAGAAAAAAGGTATATGACTGATAGTCAAATAGCTATTTTCTTCTCTCGCAAAAGCCCAGTTATGTCAAATACAAATAATGAAATTCACTTTACGAGTCTGCTGGTTTGTTCACCGACAGACAGGCGAACGGATCCCAGGTGGGCATTACTTCCAGGTTACCCACAGCTAAAATCTCCTTTAAAGAATGCTACTCTTTAAAAATGTTATATGAAATGGTGACTATTATTAATAATATTACCCTAACAACCATTTCAGATCTTCAATTCATGATATATGGTGAATATTGTAAGTAATATTTCCACAAATCCCCTCAGGTTTTTCAAAGTACTAGTATTATATCATGGTGACTATTTGTAAGTTACAAACCTACTTTATCACTATAATCCAAAATTCATATTCACTGTAATGAGTTTTAAAGTGTGAACAAAAATCAAACGTAAAAGTTATTACTAAATCCGAGAAAATAATCTACTAGTATCCATTATTATGGTAAAGTTCTCTATATTTTCTGTTCATAAGTTTCTTAAACGTAAGAACGCCAAAAACATCAACTTTGTTTATCACCGTGAAAATTACTCACACATTTAGAGTGAATATTGTATTGTTAAGCGGCTATACAGACTCGTCGTAGCTTGCCTGTAATAGAGGGAGACTCTACGGCATCACTTGAAAAGCTAGCTTTCCAGCGAGGCAGTATAAGTTCCCTATACATTGTCCGCTACATTTCACCCCGCACAGGGAAGCTTCATTCCCGAAGCTTAGTATGGTACCTCTCTGAGTGTCTAGGCCTCTTCTGTAACGGCAACTAATGCCGTCCACAGAAGTCCTTACATGGACACAATGTCCTAGCCATAAAGCTTTCTGAAGCAGGTCTTAAACCTCAACAGTTACGACAACGCCCTGTCGTTCTCGGATACGAAGTCCATTAATGGACATAAAGTCCTAGCTTTAAGGCTTCCTGACGCAGGGCACAGAACACCAGCGTTACTGCACTGCACCAATGTTTTAACGTGAAGCGGTCGGCTATGCAGGCTCGCCGTGGCCTAAGGTCTGATGACACATTCCTAAAAAATCTGTTTATTTATTTAAACAATAAAATGCTTCCTTTGGTTGTTAGTACGGGAATTAATGTCGCAGCTGTTGCAGAAAAAATACATAACCCGCTTACGCGGGTTATGTAAATTTTTTCTGCAATAGCTGCGACGTTAATTCCCGTACTAACAACCGAAGAAAGACATTTTATTGTTTATATTTATATCTGTATAAATAATCATTTAATGTAGGATTAAAAAGATTGAATTATTGTATTATTGATATGTACGTCATTGTACGTTTAATTGATGGAAGAGCCACTGATCAAGAAATCTGTACAGGTGATATGCCTAGTGTTGTTTATGAACTGACAAACGGCAATGGTTTTCTTTAGAAATAAAGGAGAAATTATTCAGTGGATGTAAATATCTCTTCGTAATTTACAACAAATTAATCAAAATTATCATTATTTTGCGATTTCTATACTTTTTTTTTCAAAATGTATTAAAACAATTGTAATATTGGCAATACTAATGCATCCTAAAGTTATATGATAAAACCCAAAGACGGGCTGATGAGAATTTTTCAAACAACTGATGTGAAGGTGAGCAACCCATAGGTGAACGTGTGTCATAGTAATATTTACCTTCCCATATAAATGATATTCGTCAGGTGAAAAGGAAGTGATTCAAAGGCATCCTTGATGTCATAAGAGACATAACATTTGCCATAAGAGAATTAAAACCATGTCTCTATATTTCCATAAGAAAGGGAACAAAATTCTCCGAGAATTGAATCATTAATGGATTCCCCTTTAATTTAGGATAAGACAAATCATGATACTTCCCTTTCTCCTTTTTAGAAAGCAAACCTAGGGGCAAACAGACAAATTTCGGAAACGGGGGTAGATTATAAGGACTTTTATATCTTTTAAATTTTATCTCCCTGTTAATTTTATCACAGAAAATTTCACAGTAGTCAATAGCACTTTTCTGACTTCTACATTTTAAACAGACTGTGCAGAGGGTGCGGCGCCAATACAAAAGCCATTGGTAAAGCTAGAAACTAAAAAATCCTTATAGATCTGATTGTAACCTTGAAAGTGAAATGCTAAACTATCACATTTCAAGTTAACTGGTATCCTGAGGCTTTGGAGAATTTTGCGGGGTTTTTTGGTCACTGCTGGTTCCTACTCGGAAAGGGGGTTTAGACGCGCTTTGGATTCGATAAGAGATTGTAAATTCCAGATTTGTTCTGGCTTGTTGCTACCCGCCACAATTCATCATGCTTCCCATGTTGCGTATACTTGTGAGCAACCACTAAACCAAGCTAACACACAACAGGTGTTGTATAAATAGCAATGTGAGCAACCAATGAGGAAAAAAACACACAACGGAACATGGCCGTAGGAACCGGGAGAAGAAGGGGGCGTGTCCCCCTCCAGTAATTTTGCCGATATAAAGTACATGTATACTATAGAAAACAAAGCTACTCTTTAGATGTACCCCCTCAATAATTACGTCTGATGACCTTTTTTCATTTCAAGGAATTTTTGCTTTTGGTAGTTCCCACCCAAACTGAAAATTTTTGGTGAGCAACCAATGAAAAAAACACACGTGAATGTGGTCATGCTGCTATTGCGGTTACATGTATGATTTTTACACACAACCGTTGTTGTGAAATATAACCAAGCATCACCCAGCTCTGTTAAACAACTCTTATGAATAAGATAACCATAAACGACATCATTTATGTCACCTTATAATTCAATGCATAATATTGTCAGGGAATCTGAACCTCGCAACATGCATCAATACCTTTACCCCAATCGGCAATCCTCGGGTGACTCCGCTACGCTCCATACAAACCTCGGATGTGATTGGTGGAGGAATATGCATCAAATCGATGCATTTCTCAACCGGAACTGCCTTTTAACTCACTTTATATTTCGCACTGCATAAAGTTCACCAAAAGAGTTAATAAACTTGTCTAATTCTTTCTTGTATATCGGTTTTGATTACAACATTCTTTTAGTGTTCTTTGAAAGCAGAAACATTTCGTTGGGCGTGCTATAATATCTATACCTATAAATTAATAAATTTTGCAAATAAACTCCGAAACGAGTGCACCAGAGTTCTTACTTACTACTCTAACAAGATGATGTCCGTAACCTATATTTAGATTTCACTCGCATAGTAAGTATCGTACATTAAATTAAAAGTCTACGTTCATTTTCTATAAATAGCCATGAAATTACAAAAACGTGAGTACGGTGGAGTTTCCGATTGGCTGATCTAAATTACGGGCAGTTTTTAATGAAACCGACAACAAGCAATCGTTTATTTATTTCATAAAACGTCATTACTGAATTATTCAATCAAAACTTGATTTAAATGATACAAAAGAAATAAGTTGTGATACGCGATTAAAAGGTATAAAATGTGCAAATTATTTTCGTCATTCATCGATCTTAATATTAACACATAGCATCGAGCCCGATGTCAAAAAGAAAAACGAAGCGATTATATCTGCTTGAACGTAAAAAAAACTTTTGTGTGAATGGTCATTGAAATAATGGTAAATCATTGAGAACACAAGTTGTGCATATATTTTTATACCGAAAGACTATTACATATATTTAGTAGGTTTTCCTAATAAATTTATCTGTAAAATTTGTATATATTCCTCAGTGAGAGCATCGTGGCAACGCCGGAACCCGAAGTACAATTTGTACTTCGTAATAAACTTGCTTACATGAAAAGAGAAAATTAATGAATAAGGTATTGTTCAAATACAATTAAAGCTGTAAAATTTTGTGCTATAATCAATACATTTAATTTTTTTTCTGAATACAGTTTTTGTAAGAAATACTCGGCCTATTCATAGGGCTTAAAAGCTAATTTTTACACAGGTCTTGGTTTATAAATATGTATGTATCTTACTGATATGTAAAGAAAGTAAAGTATATTTCTTACATATCAATAAGGTACATACATATTTACAAACCAAGACCCATGTAACTGTGAATCTTACCCACCCCCCCCCCCAAAAAAAAAATCAATTTATCATTAAAATGTGCATATTCGCTGCTTTGTCCTTGACGGAAATGAAATAAGAGCATCTGAAGTACAATATCCATAACATAGTATGACAGGTTTCACAATAAACGTCAATGAGTGAGATTGTTATTTTTCAAGTTTTTACAAAAGGGGAGTTGGGGGTTGGGGTGGAGACGTATATCTACTTCGTGCGGGATTTTGAACAAAGTGTTTCTTCCTGCTAAAAGCCTGTAGGCTGTCATTAGAAACTATAATATATTTTCTGTCGGCAGTGGTATAAATTCAATTTCCCGCGCTTGCGCGTGATTTCATCTAGAAACTCTTATTTTAAAGGAATAATATTTCGAGGAATTCAAATTGGATCACATTTTTTAACTAGCAAAATGGTAGAACACCGTTCATGTCCGCGGTTAGTGTGCTAGGCACGAGCCACCCGAGGAGCTCCGAGTGCCTTTACGGGCAGTACATGTACATGTATCTAAATACATCCACGTCTGTGACACATAACAGTAGATTTTCTGCTGAATTTTGCATATAAAGCATTCCTAATGAATATAAATTCACCCCATCACTGAGAATCAATATTTTATATATGATGTTTTGCCCTCACCCCCCGGAAAAAAAAAAAAATAAACACACATATTGTTTGGATTGCCTTGACATTACTGCTCAATATGTTGATTGATTTTGTGAACAATGTTGTTGAAAAATTTCCGACATTGTTCAGAAAACCTTCGCAACAATTGATCAAGAATGACACTTTTAAGTTGTTTACGACTATATGATAAATGAAATACATCATGCGCCAATTTTGCTGGGTCCGAATCACCTCGTATATCGTTGCCTCTAGTCCGACCTGCAAAAGAGCATCTTAGGTTGAAACGTCTTAAAAATATCAATATAACCAGGTTTTTGCAGACATCTTTGCATATTTGACCCGGTCGTACAGATCCATCCCAATTCCTTTAAAACGAACATGGAACTGCTCAGCATATATCTAGTGATAGGTTTTCTCACAGTTGGACATGATAAATTCGTCAACACGACGAAGAAGGAATCACCGAAAACTCATGCCCACCGAGTAAGAGAGATTGCAAAATAAAAGTTCAGAATAAATTTAAAATCGTCCATGCACTCATGACAGCGAGCAGCCAAATCAAGGAATGCGGCGAACAGTGCAGACCCTGGAAACACGACTGGCAAATCAATACCAAGGAATGCCGATGCAGAGTAATGCGGCTGAGAGCTAAAATTTCTCTCATTGAGTTAAGTTAAATTCAGGTGATTGAGTATGTTTAAATTCTATATGAACAATATAAGATATAGACACATTAAAAAAATACTTGTATCAAAACTCTTGTTGACATTAATTATTTAATTCCGTCAATAAAATCAGTTTTCTAAATTTAAAATCACACACGCACACGTAAACACACACCCAAACACACACACTAATCAATCTTCTCTCTCTCTCGTTGCTTATAAAATATATATTTAATGTATTGAAAATACATTGAACTAAAAAAACACTTTATTAAATTCAAATTCAGAAATAAAATATTACTTACTTCACATAATTTATCAGACACCAAGAAAATATGAATAGTAAAATGCGCTGCATGGCGAAGACCCACTTACTTCGGTTCGTAGAGCAGCTCTTATTAGCAGCCTCCTGAATTTTCTTTTTATCTATAGTACAATGAGGAAGTCAAAACTCTGTCGAACTGTTCTCAATCGTTTATACGTGACATCTTTGAATTTGCCTGTGTTAACGTTTTTCAGACGTACACACCCAAGTACAGTTGCATTGTTACCATTAAAGGCAAAGAAGCCACTTCCTCCCCCATTTAACCGACAGGAGTCTAAAGAGATGGTAAAAGTCGTAGATGCCAAATGATTAATAAATTATATGTTGGGCAAATAATTATGGAGGGTAATCGTGTTAAAAAAAAAAATCAACAAATTACATTTGTAGAAAACAAGATAAACAATTTTTGATCCAACAAATTGTGCATTTACACGTCTGAATTTTTGAACACGATTACCCTCCATAAATATAATTACCTATCATGGATATATTTGTCTTCAATTAAAGAAAACTTCAATGATTTAGCCGATCCATCTTTCCTCGAATAACTGTTAAGTTTCTTTGTGTCTTTTTTTGTGTCTATTGAGACTCCTCGTTCAGATGGAAGGCATCTTAAAAGGAACAACATGTGTTTGTGAAACACTGATGCCCTCGTATGGCATCTTATAGCAAAGGTTAAACTTTCTCAAATGCAAATAAAATACGTTTGTGTTGATACCCCCCAAAAAAAGGTATTGTCTCGAGGAATATACATGTACCTGTGAAATCCCTAGCAGCAACCATTGAATAGATATGGAAAAGGTTAAAGTTTTTCAAAAGTAAGTCAAAGATCAAGGTCAAGGTCATAATATTATGGTCAAAATTAATGGTGCCCAAGGAAAGGCCTTCTCACAAGAAATAAACATGTGAAATATGAAAGCCTTAGCACCAATCGTTTAAAAGTTATGGCCAACGTTAAAGTTTTTCAAAGTAGGTCAAAGCTCTATGTCAAGGTACAAATGTTAGTATCAGTATCAGTAATAGTATCCAAAGGAAGGTCTTGTTACATGGATTACATATGTGTATAGTATGAACGCCATAGCAGTTATGGCCATGGTTTTTCAAAAGAAGGTCAAACTCCTACATGTAGGTCAAGGTCAAAGGGTCAAAGTTGTTGGTCCAAAGAAAGGTCTTGTCACAAGGATTACACATGTGAAGTATGAAAGCCCTAGCATCAATTATTGAAAAGTTATGGCCAAGGTTAAAGTTAAAGTGAGATGATGAATCAAAATCATGTGTTTCTTTTAAGATATCTGTTTCATAAAGTGAAAGATTTATGAAAAATATGAGTATTGCGAAGATATGACAACTATAACTGCACTGCAAAGCAAGAAAAGGCTGCACAATGTAAGTGCCAGGAAAACAAAGGTTGTATCTACCGTTTCGTTGTTATCGTACATGTTAAGGTCACGCCACTTTTATTTTTAACGTAAACTTGTAAACAACATTCAATTGGAGCATGCAAAGGTGAGAAATATGTTCTAATATTTTATTTTATTTTTTAAAGATTGTATCAAAATTCTTGGTCTACCGACATTCATTTTTTGGTACTTGAGACCATGGTAACTTCTTCAATTTTTCTGCGCACGCGTAGTTTGACCTACTTTTCAAAAAAAAAAATAACTTTGATAATAACCTTTGAATGGGAGACGACAGTGCTTTCATATTTCACATGTATATTACCTGTGACAAGATTTTTCAGAATATTTTATGATTTGTGATCTCATGACCTTGAAGTTTATCGTACATGTCCATGTACTGTAATAATAACTTTTAAATGAGATAGATCTGTCATATTTCACATACATTGTATGCATTACATGTACCTGTGCCAGGACCTTTCCGAATATATTAAGATTTTTGACCTTATGACCTTGAAGTTTGACTCAAATATATAATTTTGATCGTAACTTTTGCACCAGAAGAGACGAGGCTTTCATATTTTCACATGTGCATAACCTATGACGAAACCTTTCCAAATGTAGTATGATATTTTTTACCTCATGACCTAGACGTCGAGGTTTGACTTTTAAAACTTTAATCTTGGCCATAACATTTGCACCAGAACATATTACTTCAAAAATGTAAAACATTTAGCATGATGGGCAAACAAGACAATTACAACACGCCATTGATCACTGCATCCCAACTAATAAGACTCCGAAAGCGGAGAACCACAATTCTTTGAATTTACTTGTATGGTATTAAAAAAATCGTAGAAACATCGTTGGTGTTATAATGCAACTTGAGCTTAATTAATTTTGATATCTTCTTGTTTACGAGCTGAATCCCGGTAGTAATAAGTAAGTTCAATATTTTTAACAGTGACATGTATGTTGTTAAGGAGGTTCGTTCCTCAGCTTTTGAGCAATTTTTTTGTCTAGACCTCTATTTCAAAAATTCTGCATAATATTTTAGTTCTTACAATAAATTTGGATTCTACAATAAGCCAAATAAACTATATTCAATTAAAATCCCACCATTGAATACCATACCAAAAGCATTAAGTGAGAAACAGTATTTTGTGGCGGAAGCCAGGTTTTTTTTTATTAAAAAGAAAATGATCAATTTTCTCATCAAAGTATTAACAGTACTGTTAACTTTGGATTCCTATTTTTCAATGCAGGTTGCACACAGAGTTATTTTGTGCAGTGAAATGTTTTATGCTGCTCCTAAAAATAACCCCAATTTAAGCTAAAAATTGACACTATTTTAGTAATATCTAAAAATTACATCTCAGGCCCCTGTTTTTTTCTTTTCTGAATATATAACATAATTTTAATCATTCTGCTGAAATGCAGTAAAATCTTAATACTTTAAAAAGGATTTTATAGCTTGTTGAATTTTTAATGCCAGAAAAATTACATTTTTTGAGTGCAGAAAGGTCAAATAATTGACTATGCGTAGTAATTTGAAACTCTTCGTTGTCATAAATTTTAATGAGTCTTTTCGAGATAAAATAAGACTGTATTAAGTCCCATGATTTATTTGGATAAAAAATATTGGAGGGAAACTTCGAAGAAACGATTTACTGTTAGACGTAGTTACATTGCAAAAAGTCATATTAAATGCTCCATGGCGCCAAAAGAAGCACACTGACCACCGTTTTTTTTTTTTTTTTTTTTTAATTAAGCTGTGTGTGTAGATTCTAAAAATATACTTAATACTTTAGATAGCAGGATCCTACAGAAGCCCGTTGAGGCCAGTTCAGAGAAAGAAATATTTTTTATTGCGTTCAAACGCAATAATTATTGCGTTTAAACGCAATTGCGTTTAATCGCAATAATCATTGCGTTTAAACGCAAAAGATTGCGTTTAATCGCAATGTATATTGTGTTTAAACGCAAAACACTTTGCGTTTAATCGCAAAAGATTGCGACTGAACACAATCTTTTGCGGTTAAACGCAATAATTTTGCGATTAAACGCAATACTTTTTGCGTTTAAACGCAATAGTATTTTTGCGATTGAACGCAAAACTTTTTGCGTTTAAACGCAATAATTTCTGCGTTTAAACGCAAGAATATTGCAATTAAATGATACTGTAGTTTCAAAAATAGACATCAATTTGGTAGTACACATCGATCAATGATACTGTAGTTTCAAAAATAGACATCAATTTGGTAGTACACATCGATCAATCTGTTTTCATTTGATTTTGATCTCATATGATTACATCACCTATGTTCTTGTGTTTACTGTATGCAACCATAGGAAAGGTTGTGAATTTACATATAAGTCTAAATACTTCATCATGTTGTACATAATTCCAACATTTCATTAGTCTTTTCCTGAACCTATTTATACATGGGTTAAAATTTGTGACCGCAACGTGAGGGATAGTTTTTTTAAACCACTTTTTCTTCTTAAGTCTTTTATTTAGAAGATCCATTCTATAGTTTGCAGAAATTGTTTCAAAGTAGAAAAAATAACAAAATAGAAATGTGATTTGTGATTGTAAGCAACTGACCAAATCTTCATTAAGAATATAGCGATAAAATAAGTTAAAGACATGTCTCATTCTTAGATTGCCTTTGTTTTTACAACCCGACATTTTTTCTCCTCTATAAATTCGCATCAGTGATTTATCCTTTCAGAGAGCGTTTGCTCGGAGGAATCTGATTCTATAAAGCTAGACAATACACAATTTCCTAATACATATAAGTGAAAAAAAGAAAGGAATAAAATATATCAGTATGCGTAGATCCATTGTATTCTGCAAGGTTCGATACAAATGATTACCTTTAAACACAAATATTATGCAGGTGAGTTAAGGCTAGGTATAGGCATTTCTATGCAAATAAACTAATTAAAATGCCTAAGGACTATATCTTTAATACAGAGAAAGTTAAAACTTATTGTCTAATATTTACATTTGCTATGTTTTTCTACTAAGCCAACTGTGCAATTGATTTGAAGTTCATTTTTGTGTATACTCACGCGTAGAAATATACACGGTGAAACTCGCGGTAAAGTGACGTCACAATGAGGCTACAGAGACGTTAATAAAAATGTAACGATATAGGGCAGCAAGAAATTCAAATATTGAGCATAATATTGTTGCTTTTGAACTTCTAAAATGTAAATATAAGGAATGTTTTTCAGTTTAGTGTGAATTATTGGTGTGTAAATCACACAGACTTGTCACGTAGGCATATTTCATGAAGCGCGCTAGCGCTTCATGAAAAATATGCCTACGTGCAAGTCCTTTTATTTACATTTGCAAATATTTTTCTTAGATGAACCTATAGAAGAGAAAATATGTTCAATTCTGTATGAACTTATTAGGGGGTCAGAGGTCATGGCGTGACCGAATCACACAGCGAGACGATATCTTGTCTACATATTTCTGTCACAGTGACACTGGTTTCGGAACTTCTGAACCGTCAAAGCGATGAAAAAGATAAAATTATTGAAACATATATTTTTTTTTCGTTCAACAAATGATCGTTAGATCTTTCTTCGGTGTGAAGAATGTTTCTAATTAGCCTAAAATCACGCTTACCTTTTTAACCCGAAATTC